GGTACCTTAGTGGTACATATTAGCACCTAAAATGTACATTAACAACTAAAATGTACATATTAGTACCTAAAATGTACATTATTAACACCTAAAATCCACATATTAGTACCTAAAATAGACATATTAACACTTCAAATTTACATATTAACACCTAAAATGCACATATTAGTACCTAAAATGTACATATTAGCTCCTGAAATGTACATATTAACACATAAAATGTACTTATTAGCACCTAAAATGTACATATTAACACCTAAAATGGACAAAAGTTTACCTTTTGAAAAGGTACAGCCCCAGTGACAGCTTTTGTACCTTTTTTTCTGAGAGTGTAGGCATAAGAATTTTTATAACAACTTGGAGAACAGTTTTGTTTTGCACGGAGGCACTGAAGTTTTGCACCTTTAACAATAGATTTGCATGATCTGCTTCATAAAACGTCCTTAGATGCACAGCATGGAGGTCAAATGCAGAGATTGAAGCCTTCCAATCAAAATCTTGGTGGTTTTCTCAAGAGACAGTGGAGTTACCAGTCTGTCTGTGGTAATGAGGCCTGCAACTGAAGGTCAGAGGCCTAATTTGGCCTGTAGAGATGCCCTCTTACACAGCCAACTACCAGACAGCTGTCAAACCACAGACTCCAACACCTCAGTATCACTCCGCTGGGCGATGCTGGCATACCTCTCGACTTCCACCCGACCAGCCAGCTTCATCTTATCCGCTATGTGAATGCATTATAACTAATGCTTTTGGGCAGTCAAACTGCCAAATCATAATGATCAACCACCATATCCTTATTTTCTTGGTTTATATTATTAATTAAATATTAAGTATATTAAAAGTAGTAGTAATTTACAGAAGATTATGTGTGTAGAATACCCATTTACTGTATACAGAAACGAGTCAATTTAAATTGTAATTTTTCACGGTATTAGTTTTTAACTAGCCTAGATATCTAGACGCACCCTAGGAGCAGCAAAGATTATTTGGTTTTAGCTGGAAAAACCAAACTCTGGTCAGGCCAATCACATCATGTATAGAGTCGGCGGGCGTGGAACATAATGACGACAGAGTTGCGACGGTTCACTTTAAAACAAAGTATGGCTACATTAAACAGCTGACTTTCGATTCGGCTTTTAACGCTACTCTGGACTTGAGTCATTAAAAAAAAAAAAAAAACTGTTTCACTGACAGGATACAGTAAAAGTTTCAAATATCAACTTGCTCAGCTGGTGGGAAAACGCATGGGACTCAGTCGACACCTTCTTCGTTGCTCTGATTGGTTGTAGCGCTATCCAATTGCGTGCAGAGAGAATTTGAAAGACAACCGCTTATCCCGCCCCTTGGATTGAGCCTCAATGATGAGTTCCCAGATCTAACATCTTTATAGTGGTCTGGCATGCCAGGCTAGTTTTTAACTGTATTTTTGATTAAATAAATGCAGCCTAGGTGAGATAAAGAGACTACTTTCGAAAAAACAAAAACTTATCTTTAATAATGTATAGTAAATTTGCAGGAATTTATTAAAACCTTTAATTAAATAAGCCTTTCAAGTGTCCAAGTAAACAGCCACATGTTTCTTCATTTGGTGGTAAACTCTTGGCTAATTGAAGAGGTCTTTAAACCTCAGCTGTAAAACTGCAGTGCACTAAGATGTCTTGTTTGGCAGCTAGTGACAGACACTCAATCTCATTGAATGCTGTTGTCACCATTCCTAAGGAGTTCCGCTTTCTCAGCTGTTAGCACTTCTGATCTGCGAGTAACCAAAGACACGCCGTGCAAGACTCAGTGAGCTAACAAGACATCTTCACTTTCACAGCACTTCCGGATAGCAGTCGGTGTTTATTTCAGCGCGTGTAACGCTGTGGTTTGTTTCTAACGTAAAACAATCAACACCTGATTTGAAACTGTGCTGAATCCCATCTGAGAAATGGCTGTTATTAACCTATTGAAACTCAAAGATTGTGTCACTCAAAGAATGGTGTACAATAATAATAACTGCAGAACATGTTACTTACAAAAGATATACAAGCTGCCAGTAGAAGAATCCGCACAAGTAAATCTTCAAACTGCTCGATGACAAGCTCCCATATAGATTTTCCTGTCAAACATCAAAATCTATCAGAATAACATGAGCAAAACAATGATATCATGTTACAGTTTAAAAATGAGTATTACCTTCCTCAGCAGGTAACTCTGTGTGGTTAATTGAAGGATATGAAAAAAAAAAAGACAGTATAATGTTACAAAAATACACAGTGGATAGTACATTCCCAAACAGAAATTGATTTGACATTGACTAACACAATTGTCAATTACATTAAGACCTTTGAGGCTGTGACCTTATAAGAACCTATTAAAACTCAAAGATCACATTTATCTTCTTTACTTTAAAATGTTGATCAATATTACACCCAAGTTTAATATTTCAGAAGTGATAGTTACAAAACGTAAATATCTTCATGTCACAAACACCTTGCACTCTAAGAAGAGAACTTAAAATCCAAATGAGTGAATATCTGGCTCATCTTGGAGCACATGCTGTGATATAGATATATACCAATTCATACCTATATGTGTAAAACACATGATTCTGTTAAAGTGATGAAAGAGGAAGACTGGAGAGCAGTCTTAGCTATGCTCGCTGTGATTTTACAGTAACATAATAAAGCCGGATAGATTTAAACATCTCTTTCAGCATATTTCTGAGCTGGAAGGGCCTGTGTGTGCCTTTCTTCCAAACCTTGTCAAAGTCTAGGGGAAATGTGCATGGCAAGCTGTTTTAACATATTTTCCTTTAAAACTTGTTTACACCACAACGACGTACTAAAGCAGAGCAGTCTTTCCCTTTACGTTTTTCATGCACAGATGAAAACAATGCCAAAAAGAGCCCCATTCACATGCATTACGTCACTGTTTTCACAAATTCACATTTTTTGTAGTTTAACTTTACACAGACAATAATAGCACTGTTTTCAAAAACTTGGACTTTGAAACCCCTCGTAAACTTAAAAAAAAAATAAAAAATAAAAAATTGTAAAATTGGTGACATGCACAGTCATGCAGTTTACATGTTCAGTATCCAGGTGTGTAGTGTTCTCTACAAAGTGATATTGCCAACTACTGGCCTGGCAAGAGTTATACGGAATTAGTCGTTTTTCGCAGATCCATGTGGACAGGATTGTTTTGACCAAGTTGTCATCTGTATGCAAAATATTTCAAGACCGCAAAGGAAAAACTTTTACATTTTTAGTACATCATTGTCATGTAAACGTACCCCTAAGTAGTAGGCTTTCTATGTATTGAGCACTTATTAATCACTTGTTAAATAATTCCATGGTGACTAGTAGTTATCAGTTTTTACAAATAACTATTCATTAGATATTCCAATAGTGAAAAATATCCATTCAATTAATCTCTAGTATTTCTTTGTGTGCTATTTATCGTTATGGCAGTTAAGACAAGCAATTATTGCACTGATTCGTAATTATTTAAGAAAAGCGATAAGATATAAAAGTATAATTTCTATAGTTCATCTCACTAGCTTCATTTGCAGTGTTTCTTTTAATTTATAATAAGTAATGAATAGTTAGAATGACTAATAATAAATATTTCACAAGTGAAATTAAAAATGCTGTAATACATTACTAGTGTCTATTAATTTAGTGCTAGGAAAACTGAAAGCAAAATAGCTAGTCACTAACCAATAAGTACTAGTAAGTAAAATTTTAAAAATATACTAGTCAGTCACTACAGACGTAGTATAAAACAAAAGCTAGTTTGTTTAAAAAATATGAATGTTACACCAGCTTGCCATAAAGCGTGTTTGATGACGTCAGTTGTTTCGAACGCTCCTGCCGGCTGATTGCAACAAATGTAACAATTTAATGTCAACTTCAAAGCGTCTCGTGTGGCGTCGCTGGCTGTGAGGAAAACAAAAGTATCAGACGTACCGTTGAGACCCCATTTTTCTTTCTGCTTTTTCACCTGGTCTAAAGTCAGTCCCGTGCTCTCGTTGACGCTGAAATAACTATAAACTTCTTCCACACTCTTCGTGTGAGCGTTTTCCATCGTTAGACTGGAATAGAATCCCGCTCAAGAAATCTGCCTTGGTCAAAAAAAAAAAATAGATACGAATATGCCTATGAGTGACACATACATTGACATCCACAATGAAGAACATATATGGAAAGTTGAGACGGGCAAATGCACCTTCCAATAATCTTATCCAGCAGAGTTCTTCTATCTTCTTCTTGTTGTTTCCCAAAAAACTGGGAGTCAGTGGAAGCCAAAAGGAAAGATCCTTGCTTAGTACATCACAGTCAGCCCCCGTCCAAGCCTCTGCCTGCCTGGAAATGTGACGGACGACCCCTTTTCACGTCCTTCTCTCCCGTTGAGTGCTGATGGAAGCGGCGTTTACTCGTTTTATCGCAGGAGACTCACTACTGCCTCTCTGCCGCATGTGGAGGACGCTGATTGGACAGCAAGTGTCCAAAGGAGCCCCTCAACATCCAATCAATCGACTCTGGCTAGGGCGGCGCTGACGTATATTGAGCAGACGTTTGTTTATTGGTATATCAGACTGTCAATCAATGCTGCATATATAACTTTTGCCCAGCCCCTCCAATGCAGGTGAATCCACCACAGGTAAACGGTGTGCTCGGAAAGCTGTCTGCACGTGTGTATATTTTTATACCATATAGTAATTTAGAATTTTTTCGCATGTTGAATGCGTAAATGTAATTCATTTTCTTTGTCCGGATAAAGTACATTTTAAAAAATACATTCATACAAAAACAATCTGTGCTGTTTTCAATCTCTGAATCTTGGAAAGTCATTGAAAGTTATTTATTGGTGAAAAATACATTTTACCATAAATTTAATCTAAGTTTCATTATAATCTTTTAGTATTATTTATTTTAAATAAACATGAAAAAAACAATATATGTGTGAGCGTGAATGATAAATGTTTAATAATGATTAATGTTCACTTACATGTATTCAACTAAAATCATTTAAATAATTTAATTAACAAGTATAAAAATGAAATCTGTGTGGATACAAGTATAACATTTTTAAGAAGATTTAAAAATATATATATTTTCTTTTAATCACCTCGTATACCCATTTGGAATATAAAACTAATAATACTTTTTTATTTTACTCTAATTGCTGGTTAAAGAAAATCAAACTGTGATTATGATGTGGGCCTTATGAACGAGACTGACTCACTATTAAATCATTTCACGCTGCCAGATGTTCATTATACCGTGTAGACACAGAGATATGCAACAGTACGTGAGGATGCATATTATTAATATAAGAATAAATGAATGAATTACCACCCTGGAGCTCTATATCTGTATCGAAATATATCTGTATATAGTATATTTGTATAGAAATGATCAGTTTATATATGCTTATGGGTTCTTTAGGAATAATAATTTTTGTCCAAACAAATACATTCTAGATGGATGAATGCATCGGACAGAAAAAGAAAGAGAGAAAGAAATTTGAAAGTTAGAAAATATAAATTCAACAACTGCATAACTGTATAAATTGTTAATTTACAATATGTTTAGATACATTTTTTATTTCAAATTTTCAAACAAAGATAGAAGTGAACTAGCCTAGCAATCTTCTCACTTTTCCACACAGGCAGAAAAAAACAATAGTTTTTTTTTTTTACTAAATGTATGATGATGGGACAAATGAGTGTTTACTACTTCAGCACAACCATGACAGAGCAACATTTGGAGATCTAACTGAATTCCTAAATTGGACCGCTCTTCTGGCCAAGGTCATGGCTGTTGTTTCCCAAAATAACTTGGAGCACAAGTGCATCCAAAGTGTAGCACTTTGTTAGGCGTTATCTCCGGACACATAGACTGGAGCTCTGTTCTTAAAGACGTGTCAAAACCGAGACTAGGGACTTGTTGGAAGTTAGTGTGTCAGCTTTGAACCCTTTTACTTTAGAATGCACATTTGTGTATTAATACACAGTTTTATCATACCTAGTATTCAAACAATTGTATACATAATGTGTTTATATTATTATTATTATTCATATATTAATGACCAGAAAGACACCTCAACATGGGAAATGGCATCACAGAACTAGCATATCCTTGCCAACATCCTGGATGACGTGCCCAATAGGCGCCTGGCTCTGAGCCTTGAGGTAGCACTGCTTCTTGCACTCCAACAGCGTCTCCAGATCCTTCCACATCTTCATCTGTCTCATATTGGGCTCCTGGTTCTCTCGCACCTGCTTCACCTGCTGACGTAGAACCTGAGAGTCCACAGAGACACAGTGTTCATCGGCTTTGAAAAACACACGTCTAGTGCTGCATGTTCTGATGCTAATTGGAGATAAAAACAATCATTTACATATGTTCAAAGCAAGGTTGGTGCAAAAAACCTGACCCCACGATACCTTATGCGAATTTCCAATTCTTGCTGAGCCATTCAATTTATTGTACCCATGTCCCGGCAGTCAAATGTGGTTTTCATTTCAATTCATGGATTCAGAAAGCTTGTGAAGTGGCAGCAGTAAACAGTTAAAGGGCAGGACGGGCATTTATGGGAGAGCTTGGCATACCGTTGTCTCTCCTTCCACCGTGCTGAGAGGGTGGTCCACTGGTTGGACATCAGGGCAATGATTACACAAGCTTTGTTTAACACTGGCATGATGTGGCGTGACACTGATCGCATGTTCCACGCGGTTTAGCTGAAATGTGTCAGAGGCCAGGACCCCCACTCTTAACTAACACCAAGTTGAGCCCCGACAGATAAGATACAGACAAGTGAACGACCTGGTGGAACCTAGTTATGAGTCAGAGAGGGTTGACAGATGGTCAAAGACGGTCTTCCTCACCTTGCCCAACGACTCCTGCTCTGCTGTGTTCGAAATGTACTTCTCTCTGCAAGGGAAGGATAGACAATGATTTCTTAGAGGAATAGTTGTTTTAGTTCAGTTAACACATTCTGTGTTCATGTTATCACTCTTAAAATGTTCCAAATTTACTTGCTGTATTTTCCAGAATACATTTGCAGACACATTTGGATTTGTGCCGAATGAGAGAAGTATGTGAAATTTATTTGTAAAGTGCATTTCCCACACGCCAGTAGTTTCAGTTTTGATTTAACTAAATTAGTTTAGGCATTTGCAATAAATGTCGTTTATAATAAACACCACTAGAATTTATGTTTGTTTTATACATATTTTTTCATTCCGTTTCTGCTCTGAATTAAATTGAAAGGAGTTGTTGTAGAGGATAATGTTTGTAAATGTTTCGTTTTACATAACGTTTTTTTTTTCCCTCTCAACAATACAATTTTGAATCAGTGCGATTTATTGTCAGGTACTACTTATTTTCTGTAAAATACAGTAAAATAAATATTATATAAATAATTTATAGTCATTTTGACCACTTTTACAATACATTTTTGGGTCTTTTTTATGTTTCGGAGCTTGACTGATCGTGCTCCTAAAACACAAAAAAGAAAATCATACAGGTTTGAAACAACATGAGGGTGAAGAAATTATGACAGAATGTTTTTAAATTTTTTAGGTGAACAATTCTTTTAAATGTCACATTTAGTTACTTTCTATTGAGCAGGTATCCAAATACACTTTCATTGTGTTAATAATATCTAACAATAAGCAAAAGAACTTATGATTACAGCAATTCTCCAATTCCTGAGTCACTCCTGCTTAGGATTGAACCAGCAACCTTTGTGTTAACAGCTACCGCCCACTTCCACATTTAACAGAAATTGTGCTAAACTTTTCAAATGTGTAGGCAGTATGGATCAAAAATGGGTGAATAGATACTTGAAGCATAGCTGAAACAAAAGACGTGAAAAAAACATCCACTCTGAGCAGTAGGCAGGCAGGCATGCTGAGAGCTCCGAGCTCACAAGAGTCTCTCAGGGATCATTTGTTTATCAGTTATGAAGCACGAATTCATGTGTTTGTGCATGTCTGTCTATTCACTGGAGCTTTGAGGTTTCTCTATAGCAGATATATCTTCAGTTTCTTACCTGAGGGCCGTCCTCCGCACCTGTAAGTCCATTGACTGATTGATCTTACTCTGCTCTGCAGCTCTCTGCATTTGACTCTCAATAATCTGTGAAGGAGAGGCCGAGGGAACAGTGAGAGAAAACAACAGGACCGGAAATCTCTGATTTCTAGAGGAAAATGGGTTTTACCTCTCTCAAGCAGTTAATGTGATGATATCGGCTTTCTTCCTGCGCAGTCTCTTCCCTGAGTGTCCTCACTTCCTGTATAACATAGGGACATTAAATCACTGTCTGCTCATCTGAGTATATTCCAAAATGTATTTCATAAGATGCTAATAAACAGACAATATGAGACCAAGGTTAGGCAAGAATTTAATAATAACTATTTTTGGAATTTGAACCACATTTGCCACACAGGATGTTGAATCTGAATTGGACTGAGAGGAATAATTGCAGTTATTATACATATATTAATCTGCTTTGTTGTTTAGCTATCCAAATAGAAAGACATGAAAAACTAAACATTTAAATGTCCAGTATGAAGCAATAATATATAGCAATAATTACATTTATATTTATTTATAAAATAATATAGTTTATTAATTAAATATAATTGTATCCATCATGCTGTTTGGCTCCATTTTGAATATTTTCAATATGAATTGAAAAACAGCATTTTCCACCATGGCCTATTAAATGAAAGTTATTAGTTCTATATAATGAAATATAATTTCACTGTATTTAATAAAAATAAGTTAGATTTTATAGATAATGTATATCAATCTAAAACACACTATATGTAATTGTACACACACTATAAATAAATGTACAATTAATTATTACAAACACCATCAAATACATATATATTAAATTATTTAAAAAAATCTCATGTTTCTGGAAATTTCTCAGATATTGTGTAAATAATAAAATGTTTATTGGTTATTCATGATCAAAAGTTAAATGTAGAATTAAACAGAGAATATATTGAATTCAAATTACAATTATAATTCTCAATTCAGTCTTAGGAGTTTCATTTAAAACATACTCTCAATTCGGTGTGAATGTTACACAACTCTGGTTGAGCCCCATAGTAGAGTACCTGTTCCAGTTTGGATCTGTTGCTCTCCAGTCCTGCAGCACAGGTGTCGTACTGACCCTTTTTTTGCTCATATTCTGGAGCGAGCTCCTGTTTTAACAAGCAAAACAAAAGAGAATATAATTCTGACAGAGCTGATATGCTGATTGGCTCTTTGTAGTTGATAGTGATTCTCAGTATGGGGGAGAGAAACAAATGGGTTTGTATCTCCAGTATCTTGCTTGACACTAAACACTCACCGCATGTTCCTGTCTCAGAGCTCTCAGATCCTTTATCAGTGGAGATAGAGCAGACTTCTTCTCTGCAATCACTGAATTCAGCTTTTTTACCTAAATAAACACAAATCTTCATGAGAGATGATGATCCAAGAGAGAAACTACCAAATGCATTCACATGAAAAAGTCAGTTAAAGAAACATTCAGATTAAGGGCGGTTTGTGTTCATGTACTTGGCCCAGCTCACCATTTCAGACATGTCGTCCAGCGTTCGCCCCTTCTTCTCGTCAAGCTCGCTCTTGATAGCGGAGACTCTCTCCAGCTCCTCCTGAGTATCACTGTAGCCTGAGATCCCCCGCTGAGCCTCCAGTGATTGCTGAACACGACAACACAAACAAAGCAGAAATAGAACAAATGTTTATTCACCTTGTCAGTTTGATTAGATTACTCAGTGAAATGTTTCTCAGTTTGAATATACTATTTGCATAGTAACCAATCAGTGGTACTTCATAACATTTTAGCTGCGAGCTGCATAATTTCAGCCCACAATTCAAGCAAGATCTGAACCATGTTAGCCAACCTTAGTAGTAACAAACTTATAATTAATTCAAAATTGGCCCTATTTACTTGCATAACTAATGTCACGGTGGGGAGGGGGACATTTGCAATGCAAGTAAATTTCATTTTTTAAAAATGTTATAGCCATGAATAAATAAAGGCTTTTTACTTTTTCTAAAATCTCGAGTGCCCTGGCCTCATTTGATTTTTACAAGAATTTAGATCACACAAACCAATGGTGATGTAGCACAACAAGCTCAAATTTCATTGGACAAAGTGAAGTGGAATGTTAATTTCCCGGCCTTATTCATAAATCGGTTGAATACTATATAGCCGCTCTCTGTTTTCAGTTTCTTAATATAGTGAAATGGCTAAAAGAAAAATCTCTATTGGTTCAGAGAGAGTGCAGAGTGAGGAGAGTTCCTCTGATATTATAAAATCTGAAATAACTGTTAATGCCATGCCGTTTCATGTTATTCATGCATCTCTTTCTTTCTTTGTAATAACAAAAGTTGGATGTAATGCAGATTTTTGAAGGCTGGTGTGTTTGTGCACAGCCAGTGTCATGGTTAAGCACTTTCTGACGGGTTGTGTCTGTACAGACAGCCAGGACTCAAAGCCACAAATCGCAGTGCAAAGCACTTTATTCTGTGGGTACAGAGGGAACTTCACAGGTCAAGTTGAAACTAACAGCCATGGGTTTTATAATAGGTCAGAAATGTGCTGAGCACTATAACCTGGGAAGATTACATGACTAATCACATTTTGACACTTCAGTCTGACTCAACTCAATTTCCCTTCATCTCCTAAACATGTTAGACTAGTCAGGGAAACTTAAATATGCATATATTACAACTGTGGAAAAAATTTTGTTAATTAAAAAGTGCTATGATCACAGATTCGGTTTGGTTCTGTAGTTTGTCACTAAACAATTTATATTTTGTAAAATGTCCATATTATATAACATATGGATAACAGACAAAAACAGATCTCTTATTACTAAAATGCTGATGCGCTGATAGACACAAGCTAAAACATTATTGATGTAAGCACAAACAAAGGTGGCCGTTAAGCAGGGTTCATCAACATTTAGAGAAATTTCAATCCCTGAATTTGAATTCAATTTGAATTAATGTACCAAAGAGGATGCAGATTCGAATTTTGATGCAAGGATGTGGATTTAAAATAAATTGAAATTCAACTAAATCCAAATGTCAGTAATTTGTAATAAGAAAAGCAAGGCTGGCAATAGAATGATGGATAATGTGCGCTTACCAGCTGCTGTTGTCCAGCTGTGTGTCGTTCTCTCAGGATCTCTTCAGTCCTCTGTAGAACACCGTACTCTGCCTTCAGCTCAGCAATCTCCTGACGTTTTTTCTTATACATGCTGCTCTTGCCACGCATCTTGGCCACATATCGCTTAAACTGAAACACAGGCAGAAAAATCAAAACACTAATCCCGACATGGAAAAATGTTCGAAAAACAACAACAGTAAAAAAGACTATAATAAAAATAAAAGCCAATAAAGAGAAGGTGCAATGAGAAAACAATACTAGGCCAGTAAATAGACAGAAAATATACAGGAAAAAATACTCAAATAAATGTTATCTTTATCAAGATGTGACGTAAAGAAATTGATGAATGTAAGAGGAATAACCATTTCATGTAAGTTTTCCACAATTTTTAATTTCACTTTTTCCATCACTAGTTAATTTCAAATGGTCCTGTGGTGTGACAAATGAGTTTTTAAAAACATAAGCAGTCATGTAGTTTCTCAATGAATCATAGTTTAATTTTAGGTCATTCCTAATTATAATAAAGTAAAAAACAACAACCGGTAAGCCAAATGCAGTTTGAAGTAGTTTTACATGAAGTAAAACATGTCACATAGCAGATAGTCTCAAAAGTAGGTATATTTCAGGCGTAAGTATCAACTAATATAAAAAAAGAAGATAAAAAAAAAACAGTAAAAGATTATGAATTATACATTTTGGACAGTCAATAATTAACAACGGTGAAATCCAATTTTATACAACAGGGTCAAAAGAATTTGCTGTGCAAAGAGAAAATGTGACATTGGATATATCAGACAGGATCAACAGATATTACAAACAATGAGCCCTGGCTGAGTGACTGTCTCATTAATGACTGCAAACAGAGCAAAGCTGTCATCTCACATGGGAAAATGGTATTCACACACACGCCAGCCGAGGTCCATGTGCATGCACGGGCTGAGGGATGCAATGAGACAAAGTCAGTGGAACATTGTGGCCTTGGCTCAGTCTCTGGTAAGGTGAGAGAAAGGTGAGAATCTCTAAGAGAAAACAGCCAAACCAGGGTGGCACTGGGACATCTCAGTGGATCGCAACAAAAGAAACCTGAACCCGCAGGCATGCAGCCAGAGGGGATAAAAAAAACATCTTCATCTGGCAGCTCACTCGCTCAGGCTATTCTTCTGTCAGTACTGCCAATGGCTATAAATGTTGAGAGGCACCAGAGAGCAAACTCCGAAATCACACAATGTGCCGTATGTCACTTGGGGCATGCAGAGATTGTGAGTGAGAGTTTATGCTTTGTGTATTTTGAGACAACAAGGGCAGACAAGGTTGGAGCAATTTGGGAGGGGAGCAGGAATAATGCTGTTCATCATCGTCACAAACAATCAAAGCAGTAACACGTGAGCATTTAAATGCATTATTGCAGGTTCAATACAAGTTTACAGCTAAAATACAAGCTCAAATGACAGCATTTGTTATGCTGATTACCACAAAAAATAATTTCACTTCATCCCACTTCGTTCGCTGAGACACTTAAGTCACTTAAGTAAAGTATACTTCGGGCGGCCGTAATTTTCATCAAAAACAACGTCCACTCGATAGTGTGCACGCGCCAAATGTGTCTTTCCGCGCTCACGGCCAAAGGAGTATACTTTTAAAGGCTTGCGCGCTCAACTGTGGGTGAGAGGGAGCAGAACACGGAAGATAAAGTATATCCAGGCCTTAACAATGGAAGTACGTAGGATTTAAAATAAGAAACGTGAAGCTTATTATAATTTCATAAAAGCACTTATATAAATTATTCTGTTTAAACTTGTGTATTTTATCTTAGGTAGGGATGCACCAATATGAAAATTTTGGCCGATACCGATAACCGATAATTCTTTATATTTGAAAGCCGATAAATGATATATTGGCCGATAAATCTAAATCCAAATTTTTATATAATTTTTGAGAACCTGATTACAAAAACAGTAGTCTCACCATTAAAATCCACGTCCAAAACACACAATTACAATGACGTTCTCGTTATAATTTTATGTAGCGGATATGACAGCCTTGCATGTTGCAATTTACTGTACTCAAGCAATTCAAATCCATCATGTTGAACAGTGCGCATCTTAAGTGTCTCAGCTGAAGGAATTAATACATTATTTATTGGCTTTAATATATTGGTTAAATTTTCTTATCCGGCCGATAACGATAACAGTAAATTGAACATATATCGGCCGATACCGATATGGTGGCCGATATATCGTGCATCCCTAATCTTAGGGTTTTAGGCAGTGGTCATACTAGACTTTGAGCATGCAAAATTTCTTTGGACACTGCAAGGTCTGTGATACAGTATGATGTCACATTCTGTTGCGTCTTTTTAAAAGCATTCTGTAAATTCAACATAAATCGCATATATATCAGATCCATCTATCTGGATACTTTGGGTCATAGATGAGTCTCCCACTGGTCCAAAAAATTCTCTTCCCTGCTTTTTCCTTGTATTTTTATGTAAGTTGACCATACTTGGATTATGTCTAATTCAGCAGCTCAGACTTGCACATCTACAGACACACACTCCCTCTATAGTTTCAGCTATCCATCACTTGGCTGCTCCTGTTCACAGTTGGACGGACCATGGACAAAAGTAACCGTTATCGTGGATAGGCTGATAAAATCATGGGAAATCTAGAATTGGGGGAGGGATGGTGGCTATTTTAAATAGGGTGCCGCTCTATCTGGTCAGCCTGCCAATATCTCTGCCGAAGGTCAGACAGGGAATGGAACGTCTGCTTGTTAAAAAAAATTGCAGACAGACAGCAAAAAGTGAGGACAGGATAGTTCACAGGTCTCAGAAACAGACACAGGCCTGTTCATCACTGACAGTTGCGATGGGAAATATCCTGGGAATAACTATTACAGCTCTGGCTCTGAGGCCAGTGTGAGAAAGTTCAGGCCAACTGACGCAACTGTCACCTGCCCTATCGGAGCTGTGCTGCTTAAAGGGGCAATTCACTGTTGGCAAGATGGCTTTTTATAAAACTTAGTTATCTATGCAATAGATTTTTTTAAAGAGGCTATATTATGTGAAGGCCAAGTATGGTAACTCATACTCAGAATTTGTCCTCTACATTTAACCCATCCAAGTTAGTGCACACACATTAGGACGAGTGAGTAATGAAAACAAACTATGGGACACGTACATCCAGAGCAGTTTTGCTGTGGCACCCAGGGAGCAAATGGGGGTTACCGGTAGGTGCTTTACTCAAGGGGACCTCAGTCATTTCCTGACGGTATATTGAGAATCGAACACATTACCTTCGGGGTACCAGTCTGAATGGGAATTATTAGTCTGAATAGGTAGGAATTATTAGAATACTGTTTAGCATACAATCCCCGAAGAAAACTCAAGACTACAATCAAGGTGTTTTAGGGAGTTCAGGAAGAGTGCTTACAGACATAAATAATGCTCTTCGGAGTGACTGTGGTGGACTTAGTAACTCAGCAGATATATTTCAAGCTCAAACAGAAACATTACACACTAAGTTAAAAATGTAAAAATGCATAATAAGTCCTCTTTAAATCAGTGCTACATGACTAGAGAGAATAAATAAGAGGGCTGTTGCATTCCATTCTGCCAAAAACCTGGTTAAAACAGAAGTTAATATAATAAATACTGTAATATTTCTATTTAGAAGCAGATAAACTCTGAAGCTTTGTACTGCTGTGTGTGTTTAGTACCTCATCTCCACGGATCAGCTCCGCTCCGCCCCGTTCTTGTGCCTGACTGATCTTCATGTTCAATTCTCTTTCCACAGCTGCCAGCTCCTCACGGGCCTCCTGCAACTCCTGCACCTTGGTTTCCTTCTTATGGACTATAATAGCAGCCTAAAAGAACAAATTAATTCCATTTTACATTTATTATTTTTTATACATTTTTCCTGGTTTATTGTCTCCCAAATGAGAATTTTTTAAAATGAAAATTTCAACCTGAATATATATTAAGTTATAATATTTCTTAAAAAAGTTTATAATATGAAAATATTCATAAAAATTGCAACAAAGAAAAAATGATTTTCTGCAATATTTCTAGGTCATTAATAAAATAAGCAAATTTGCAATATTGATGCTGAAAAATAATATGTAATATTCAAAAAGTCTCACTAGTGACATTAGGGGACGTTCACACAGAATGTGTGTTTTTTTTTTTGTTGCATTCCATTTTGCTGTTTTTACATTGTTTTTAACGTAAACACACACAAGCAAGACTCGCATTTTTAATGCCGTTCTAAAAAATGCAGCGCTTAAATGAAAAAGTTCAACTTTTAAAAAAACATGTCTTTATGCCTTTCGCTTCATTCTGTGTGAATGGCCCAATAGACCTTCAGAAACCACTGTGTGTAAGAAGATCAGTTGTGTGGGACAAAGGTCAATTATACAGTCTAGCTGTCATACAAAAGTATCTGACTGACCAATCAGAATCAATTATTATGGAGAGCCATGTAATAGGCTATGATAATAGACATCTGGCAATTACATATGAAACAAATGCACACTGTTGTATTAGCAAATCAGAGAACATCAAACATTCTTTCATGTTCAAAGACTCGCAGGACAAAGTGCATCATCTCTCCGTTACGGTTATGAAGACCAGAGCAGAGTATATCAGATCCACTAATTTAATTCCGTACCCGACCAGACCTGTTTAGAACTGTACCTGCATTAAATACACTACATCAGGTAGACAAAAATGTAACACAAGCAATCAAAACCAACATTAAGCATTTTGAGTTGATGCGTTTAAGAAAAAATAAACACACAGCCTAACAGCCCAAAAATGATGAGAAAGTGCATCCGCCGTGTAAGCAATACAAAACTTTGCTTATATCATGCGAACAATCTGCCTATTTTGAACAAATGTGCATATTTAAATGTGCTCTCAATAAGTAAATAGCCAAATATGAGCCTATACTGTCAAACAATATCAGGACTATTTTAGAAAATTCACTCTGAAATGAAATGCGGTTGTCTCTCCTGAAACTCTTCAGTGTATTCGTGGCTGTTGATACTCTTAGCAGAATGAAAGATTAACCTTTTATTCAAATTGTAAATAGATTATAAACAGAATACCAGCAAAGACCCTTCCCTTAATGACTGAAGCTGTCAATCACTTCAGTTTATGCTGTCCTCACGCTGCAAATCACATTGTAATTAGAAACCTTTAACGTTCTTTAGACTGCACAGCGTGAACACAAACAAGCACGGGACCGTTTAGAAAGCAGCAGTCTATCAGTAGGTAACAAATTGAGTCAAAATAGTCTTGGCTATTGGACCCACAGTCCACCCATACCTATTGATTACCACCACACCGCAAATGACCACCTAAATATTATTCCAACCGTTATATCAAATATTAGCAGTTCACCCGCATACGTGCAGGACTCTGGGCCAGAGGTCACATGGTCACCTATATCCTGGGTTTCCATTCTGGGCACGTTGGGCTTAAAAGGCTTAAGGGGCAAACACTAAATCACACATTACTCAACCCTGCATGAATAAATATAGTCTGCAAAACAAAATAAACGTGACTCATCAGGTAAATTGTAAAGAACAACACCTGTTTAAACTTTCAAAGTCACATAGGGGAGAAAGGGAAAGATAACATCAAACCTGCTGTCTGAACAGAGAGAGTTTATCATCCATGGGGTCATTACGCATCATCTTCTTTTCGATGAGATGGTTGATCTCCGTGTTGATTTCTCTGATCTAATGAACAAAAGACGCATTTCATTACTACATACACCACCGTTCAAAGCTTTGGAGTCAAGGAGTTTTCTTTTTTTAAAGAAAACACTTTTATTCAACAAGGACACAATAAAATGATCAGAAATTCCAGTTAGAGTGTTATTTTGAACTTTCTATTCATCAAAGATGCTAAAAATATTGATAATAATAAACAAATGTTTGATTTTTGAAGGATCATGTGACATTGAAGACTGGAGTAGTACTTCATATTTGCCATCACAGCAATAAATTGTGTTTTTAAATATATTCAAATAGAACATGATATTAAATTGTAATTATATTTCACAATGTTACTGTTTTACTGTGTTTTATTGAACAAAAACAGTTTAAAAATACCTTAAAAAAATCAACTTTGACCAAAACGATACTCAACAGTACAGAGCAGTGTTTGTTAAAGGTTGAACTTCAACATTAATATTCAAATCCATGCGCACAGGCTGACCTTGTCCTCCAGCTCCCTCAGCTCTGCTTGTCCCATAGCAGGCTCAGATGCCACCTTCTGTAGGTACTGCACCACCTTTCTCATGTTCTCCAACTCTCTGGGAAGCTTCTCAGACACCATGTAAGAGTTGAACTTGATGTCCTCATCAAGTCTCTTCATGAGGCCTGTGGTTTAGGATCACATGTATGTTCTACAGGGATCTCACATTGTGTTGCAATGCTCGTCTATTGCAGTGAGAGTGTAATACGATTCAGTGAATGTCAACGAAACTGTTGTGGAGTTCTGAAACTTGCAATGTGCGACCACAAGAAATAGTCACAAAGTAAAAAACACATACACTGGGAATAAACGATTGAAAAAGAGTCACAAAACTACCGGTAGGTACAAATGACAAAAGGTTAAAAAAGTCGGCAAATCGCCATAATTTATGCATAGTATATCCTTTATAAATAGAAAGTCAGCTTTGTATGTGTGTGTGCTGGGAATCGAACCCATGACCATTGCATTTTGTCAGTGCTAGCTCTAACAACAAGAACACTTGAGTTGTTCTGGGACAGGTGTTATCAAGTGTAACAACTTACTCTCTGGCTTTTCGTCTGCGGCTGCCTGCTGCAAGTCTTTGAGCTGGATGTGAGATCTCTGCAGTCTCTGCTCAGCCTGGAAGAGCTACGCCAGAGACAAAACACAGCCTATGCTATCAGAATGCCCAGTAGACTGTGATTGCTCGAAAACAAGTCAAGGAGCTCATATGTGTTTATCCAGACATAAACACACAAACTGACGTATTCGTGCAAGTATTCAGACTGTCTCTACCTGGTTTTTCTGCTCCTGTTTCTGATGAGCAAGAGACTCTTCTCTCTCTTTCTCCACTCGCAACTGTCTGGCCAGTTCCAGCATGCGCTGGTGGTTTGACACTGCTTCCACCTAGTGGAGTAGAAGAACATCACAAAAAACAGAATCAGCACTGATTTTTCACATTTTCTGTGCAAATATGTGAATGAAATGGATTTAAATGAGTTTTTGTATTACAGTAAATTTGTTATTACATACTTTGATTACCAGCTGAACTATTAATTAATAATTCTGCAAACAAAAATAGCTTTTGTCCAAATTGGGTGCAAACTGTGCTAACAGGCATTATATGGGGTTTCCTGTTATGCCATCTTTTCACTATCATCTTGTCATCTCTGACAAATGACAGACTGTCATTCATTTTCAATTAGGGAGCTGTGAGGAGTTATAATCATATGCGTATGTGGAATTTTAGGATGTGTTGAAATATCAGAACTTTTTTGCTCCCAGACCGGATGTGATGTATTCAAAATGTTAAAAAAGTGAGAATTACTCATATTTTTCCTCTAAAATGTTATTCTTTAAACACTATTTCAGTCAAATGTCTGGTTATAAATGATTATATTCTTATACATTTATTTTTTTGTTCTTAAATTTTATATTCTTATAATTAAACAATTAAATAATTGTTTACATTGATTAGCCCTACAACCTATACTTTATTTTTCTATCTATCAGAAACTTACATTCGCTATTCCTTCATTTTACCATGGCGAATAAGCAACAGGCAAATGCTCCTCATTGTAGTACACAAGATCCAGGGGGTGGAGTCGGATTCAGATCTGAGGGGTGGAGTTGGGTAGGTTTAGGGGTTGGTTTAGGGATCAGGGGGTGGAGCTGGGTAGGTTTAGGTCTATGTAAGGTGGGAGGAGTTGGATCTGGATCCGACTCATCCCTGTGGATTTCTTGTTCTGCAGTGAGGACCATCTCAAGGCTGCTTGAAGACCAACTTGAAAGTTTTGTGCAACTGCCACTAGGGGGCATAATGCACCAATCATACACAAATGTTTGAAGGCAGCTTTAGCCTTTTAAACAGTGACATCAGCAGCTCACTTTGATAGTTCTCTGTAAATGTATTTGCAGGTGCGATTCCATTCTTTTATTTAGTTTCACATACAGATTTTTATAGGATTTTAGCTCCTTACCCTTTTTCTAAGACGCTCCACCCTTTTGATAAGTTGGTCCTTCTCCTCCTCCATTGCAACAATGTCCTGTAGCGACACATTATTATCGTACATAAAATGCAAAACACTACATGACCAGATAGGACTTTGGCAATGTAGGCTTTCTTACCCGCCGGATGTCAGCGGTGGAGAAACCTGAGCTCTTCAGCTGTTCACACTCTTTATGGATGTTCTTGAATCCCTCCACCAGCTCCTCATACTGTGAAAACAATAGAATGAAAACAACTGGAAAACGCATAAAAAATAAACGTCAGCATGAGAATCAAAATAGACAATTCTTATTTTTTTTATGGAATATTGCAGTATTCATTCATGGTTACCAAGATAGGATATTTTAAGAACTAAACTGAAGCAGTAAGTCAACATTTTTTAAATGTAAATGTCTAGGGAGAACCACAATGAGTTATATTAGCAACACTTCTGATTACACTTAAAAAAAAAAAAAATGCATGGTCTTCCTCGGTACTTCTGATTTGTTTCCAGTTCAAATCTCTAAAGATTCTTAAATCAAGATGCATTTACTTGAGATCCAAAATGAAATAAAATATGAAGTAAAGTCTTGTTTTCTGTTAAATTGTTCAAAATGGAGTGCGTTTAAACAAGAACTAATATCCTGCCAATGGGCTCAGAAAATTCAAATTAATTCAAAGGGAAAACATTTGACATATTTGTTCTTGTTTTAAGTATACATCCACCTCAATTCTTGAAGACTTCATTTACATCTACATCTCAAGTAAATGTATCTTGATTTAAAGATGTTTATATAGGCCAACTGTATTGGAGAACAGGACAAAAAAACTGAGGAAGATATTAATTTTTTATTATTATTAATTTTGCAATGCATTTAAGACTTTCTGCTCTGATTCAAGACCTTTTTAAGGCCGTCATTTGTAAAAAGGGCAAATTAAGACTTTTCAAGACCTGAAACCAGAAACCCATTTATCTGTGCCCTCATATTTTTTCATCAAAATATCTTCCCTTCTCTCTTGCAGCAACATCTCTTCCCATCTCTTATAGAATAGAATCTAAAAACAAATCTTTATATGTTCAGTAGGCATACCTGGTGGTAGGTATCAGCAATGATATCATCTTGGAGAAACTCAGCAGGAACCTCTAGTTTGAAGAGGAATCTGGCCAGATACGCTCTCTTCTTCAGCTCTGGAATCTTCTGTAACAGCCAGTGCAAGATGGGGTGCACCACAGGCTTACTGCCTGCCACCAAACCCTGGCGAAAACTGCTCCTGTTGAGGAATGCACATTTCAAAGCTGATTGGATATTTGAAGAACTTAAATCAATTTCATCTTTCTATTTGAATAGCAGAAAACGATCTTGGCACCAACTATGGTGCCCATTTATCCTGATCTAACACAGCTAACAGATATCTTGAACGCTTTGCTGACATTCCCATTAAGTTATGAAAACGTTATTTCAGAATGTTCTTAGAACTGAAGAAGACTAGTAATGCTGCTGAAAAATTAGCTTTGCATCAAATAAATAAATTATATTTTAAAGTATATTAAAATAGAAAACCATTACTTTTAAATTATTATAATATTTCACAATATTACTGTGTTTTTTTGTATTTTTGATCAAATAAATGGAGCCTTGATGAGCATTAAACATTAAAAATAGTAACGTTTCCAAACTTTTCACCCAGGGGGCAAAGGGGGTTTAGCAGACATGGGCTGCTGTAAAAGGTTGTCATACAAAAATGAAATCTATGATGTCTGAGGATGTTGGAAACTTGTTATAAGGGTCAAAACAATGCTACCTCAAATTCTGCTTTAACTCCCTGGAATCACTTATTTTTATATGACAAACGTTTACAGCAGCCCATGTCTGATTTCCTACCCCCTGGGTAACTGGTTCTGTATAAGTTATATGTAACGTTACAATAATTACCTATACATTTTTGTTCACTGTTACATACTCGTTTTTCACTATTTCTGTCTTACACTTCAGATATTCCTCCAGGCGGTTTGTATTTCAGCATCCCCAAAAGAGTAAACATTCTCTTGGCTGTTTGTTCTGGGATTTCCTCACGTATATCAAGGGCTTGCTGAAACCAAATATACATCATCAAGACAAGATAAAGTATACATATATATATATATATATATATATATATATATATAGATGTATTGTGCACCAGTAATAATAAAAAAACGTTATAATTTTGAACTCACCTTTGGATCAATTTCCGCCAGCACATCATTTAAAGTCTGCAGTAACTGCATAGGCTCCAGAGAATCGAAAGTAATGAGATTTAAGTTTTTCTTAAAAGGCTCCCTGTTCAGTTGTTCAACGATAAATTTGAGCTGTTCGCTCATCTTGAAAGGTTTGTGACTTAAACCCAACAAAAAAAACCCTGACTAGCTAGCGATGCGTTGAAAAGATTTTATTTTTATTTATTGCATTATAGTTCTCGGAGCGCTGTCACAGACTTTCGTTTTTTATTTGACTTTTAGCTAAATAAAAATGATCAGAAATACTTGTATGAACTGAATAACTGCGTATACCGCTAACACCAACAAATCCTGCCTAGGAACCGTTGTCACACAAGGCCTGGTTACTAACAGGAAGTTGGTCATCTGAAGAGAACGCTTATTTTTTTAAAGTAAAAGTCCGCATTGAATACTTTTAAGGGTCTTTGCCTTTTTTTAAGTACTTGTTTTAAAAAATACAACAACATAATAATGGATAACAAAATATAAGTAAAAATATATGTAGGCAAAAAGGTGATATATACTATTGATCTCTGTGAACGACAGGGCATTTTGGATAATTAAGTATTTTTATATATTTTATAGTATTTGTGTTATTGTATTTACCAAATAGCAACTGGTTCCTAATGAACTTGGTTTTCAAAGACCTAACGTTAACTGCAATGATACACTAAATATTATATTAAATATTTCCTTTGAAACCAAGGTTTTTAACTAAGGGTCCACAAAATAACTTCAAGCGGTCTTATGAATATTTTTTTTATGAATTAACGTTACTATTATTACAACTGTTTTAATCAAGTACCGTTCTAGTACAGTTAAAACAATATTTTCTTGATTTTATTTCTTGAAACTCCTTTGTCCATTTATTTGACTATTTTTCTTTATTTTACAAGAGCGCTAAACTAGAAGTAAAAACGAAATAATAAAAAAAAATTAACACAAAAGAAGAAAGAAACGAAAGAAAAGCTATTCAAAGAAAATATTTCAAAATCTCCTTTCCCCTTGCATTTTCCTTTTTATCCTTAGTCGCACGAATCCACATATTTTAGATTCTTAACACATCTTTAGCAGTTTATGTGTGAGTAACTGGTGTTGTGAGGTGGATTCTGGCGCTGCTGCGTGCCGCTCTCTGCGCGTGGCCGTCTAGTTCTCTCTGAGGCGCGTGAATGCACGAGTACAGAAGGCATTATCTTCATTTCCAGTTTCATCGGCAATTTACAGAATGCGGAGGTGAAAACGGACGGTCTCGCCGATCGAGGTACAAATCCTTGACGGTATACACTGGTATTAGACCAGTTAGTATTATTTTTAATATCTGAAAGCTGTTCCTGGGCGAAAATCACGCATGCATTCAAACAGAGGATTATCGCGGAGGAACTGCCTTGAAACCATGAGCTGCAGTTGGGGGACGGAGCTGTGGGTGAGTACCGCCGTGAGGAGGCGAATGCATCTGCAAGATACTGAGCAATATAGCGCACAAAATGTTTACGATCTCCATTAGTAACATGCATATGCACATTAGTGATTAATTAATAGCCCGCCGTACCGCCCATTTTACAGTGTTGCAGACTGCAAATCCTAGCTACTGTTATCATTTCACGAATTTAGCCCTGCATTTTATGCATGCACGTCCAGATATTTGAATGCATGCTCCCTGAAGCACGTTTAATGCAGTTATTAGTCATCAGCGTTGACTAAATACCCTAGATGGCAATAATCCTGAGCTAATGCTGTCCCTAACCACAAGTGAATGAGGCTGGAGCAGGTGCACAGGTTATTCCCAGGCATGCCTTTTCTCAGCTTTGATGGTGCAATGTGTCTATAACAAAGTAACAATGTTGTTCTATTATGATATTACATTGTCTTAATATCTTAACGTTTTCTAATAATTTCTTGTCCTTGCTAGGCTAGCTGTAACATCATGGGACCTTTACCTAGTAACAACACCATAATGCAGGATAAAATATTCAGGGTTGTAAAGCCTAGTGGTTAAAAAGCAGGGTGCTAACCAAAAAGGTTCAGAATTTCAGTTCAGGACCCATTTAAACTCAAGTTGTTCTAATATGTGTTGGAGAAACTAGAGAATTTTGGGTGGGTTGTGCTTGTAACATCATTAGTTTAACCATTTAGAAATAAGTTAAGGGGTGAAATCATCTTGTGTGGCCACCACCCTCCTCAGGTGACATTAGAAGCTGTAAGTCTTCATAAAATATTACAAGAGTGATATTTTAAAAGGATTTACAGGACTAAAACCAAGCTAATGGATGTTAAATGTCATAATCTGAATCAGCAGATTCTTGTTTAATTTAATTAAAAGCTACAACAATAAATTATGCATTAATCCAATAGTATGACAACAGTACTCCTTGTACTTGACAATAATTTAAGTTTAGGGATAAGTTGCTGATTTCTAAAAACTGCTTTAATTTGTGTCAGAGAACTATAGAAATATTGGTCACACTTTAGATTAGGGTCCAATTCTCACTTTTTAAACTCCTAATAGCTTATTAATGGTTAGTAAGGTAGTTGTTAAGTTACGGTATTGGGCAGGATTAAGGGATGTTGAATATGGTCATGCATAATAATCCTAAGCAACTACTGTAGTTCATGGTGAGAATTGGACCCTAAACTAAAGTCTCACTGAAATATTGAATCAAAGTTTAAGTCATTGTTCATAAAAACACAGTTATAGACAATAAAACGATGTTGAAAATGTTACTGTGGATAAAAATAATAGTCGTGTGGCTAATAAACTTCAAAAATGTCTATATAAACAGACAAATGCTTTAAAAGCTGCTATGGGACTCACAGGAGATTCAGATCAATATGTTTTGTAACAATAACCTTGTAACCGTAACCTAGTGGTTAATAGGTTTCAAAACAAGTTAAATGCTCTGTGATGGATGAAGTTTGTACTGTGTATATAGTGAGTGATAAGCATTACGGCTGGAGGGCTAGCACTGCTGAATAATGGATCTGACTCATTGCCAGTGTCAGACAATACTGCGAACTCATGAAATTATATGGGACGACTTGATATCTCTCCTTTGGGTCCTCTTTCATAGTTATATCAAATCCATCAAAGCAAAATCTATACTTTTTTATCTCCTAAAGTGTTCTGTTGGCACTATACCTTCATTGCTATTTCATATTTTGTAACTGATATGAATGTAAGACTCTAAATGTTCAGTCCTTCATATGTCTGTTGTTTTGCTGTTCTTTGCAGGATCAGTTTGATAATCTAGAGAAACACACTCAGTGGGGCATTGAGTTTTTGGAGCGCTACACTAAGTTTGTGAAGGAGCGGTCTGAAATTGAACTGAGCTATGCCAAACAGATCAGGTAAGATTTGCAACTCTTATAATGATAGATAGGGTCATGTTATCATCCTTTACTTGCTCAAATTGAATGACAATACAAGTCACATTTATTTATTAAGCGTTTTATACCAAAGAATTTTGTTTAAACAGGAAAATAACAGTGTTAATGTTACAAAATTCATCAGTTTTTATAAAGCTCAGCAGAATACATCTTTTTTATTTGGCTCAATTCAGATTCAATGTTGATTCAGTTCAGTTCAATAAAGTTCATTAATTAAAAACTGACTTCAACAGCAAAAGACAATAGGATCATTATCTAGCTCAATTCAAGTTTTTATGTTATCATCTGATACTATCAGTGCAGTCACATTATTCTCTGAATACTTAATGTGTCAGTTTTGGATGAGCGGTGTAACCAAAATATTATATCACAGTAATTGTATATATTATAATATAATTATTATAATTCACAAAAAAAAAGTTATATATTCAATAACCATGTTGCATTCTCTATTTTTGCACAATCCAGTGAATTAAATACTATTTTTGATCCTCACAGATTGATATATCACTGCATCAGCAAAGTACTGAACTGTTAGTCAGAATTGATTAGTTAAGTCACCAGATATCTGGATAAAATATGATTCACATTAAATGGCAAATGTTCATAAAGATGCTGTTATTATGTCATTGAGAACAAACATTAAACAGGTCACATGTCTAATGTGTATTGCCATGGATACTGGGTTTCCACAGCTCTGACCTACATTTTTATTATCCACCACTGATACTGTAATATTTCTTCCTGACTGCATTTTGGAAGTTTATTGAGCAGCAGTTTCCACTGGATACGTTGACCCCGAGGATACCGGATGACTTACCAGCATCATCTGCGCTCCTGCTCAAAGACATACGCAAAGAAACCTCAGCGTTTATAATAAACCCCACAGCTGGAGCTCGCCGATTTGACCAGACGCGCACCAAACAGGCCCTTTCTGTTTACATGTTCTGATCTCATAAGAGTAAATCCTCTTTCTGTGGCCGTTTGCTCAATCCGTGCATTGTTGTTCTTTTTAAGAAGTGTGCCAGACTGTATTTTGTTCTGAAGAAAGAGTCTTTAATTCACCACATCTCCCAGAGGCTTTTTTTTTTGTTTGTTTTGTTCAGATCGCAGCCATGGGTGAAAGATTTATTAAGCTCTAAGCACATGTTAGCAGATAAACTGCATCGACGTGGATCTGCCTGGCCAAGAAATAATAGTCCTTTGAAAACCGCTGGGTTGGGTTATTCTAATGAGGATTTATTTCTGGATTTCGTAAGCTTTTTCCTATTAGCCGTCGCATATTGACACATAGGGCGGCCAGTTAGGCAGATCGCAGGGAAACTAGCAGACAATAAAGCAACTGCATCGGTGTGGTCTTGTCAAGAAACTGCAAGATGGTGATCTGCCTAGCAACACGTCAGACTCCTGGGAGGTACCGTTGGGTGTGTGCAGAGAGAGAGAGGGAGAGATAGAGTGAAGGAAAGCTGCAGGAAAAAGCATAGAGGGGGCGGCACCGTCAGCATGCGCTCTCACCATCATAATTGATTCTAAGCCATTTATAGGCCCTCTTGAAATTAATCACATGATATTCATGTAAAAAGCAATGATTTTCTCGTTTTTACTGTGTCATTTGACGTCATCCGGTAGTCAATTTTCCACTCTGATTGACAAAGGTCAGCCTCATGAATCGGACGCCTTGTTCAGTGGGATGATACGATTATTCTGATGGTGACAATATTAGCTTTTGTTTGCGCCGCAGCCTCGCGTTGCACCACAAGCACCATTGGATGTCATTTGTCATTGACGTGCACAATTTCATTCATTCAAATTACCGGGATACAAAGGCACATTTGAAACAGTAAAATGTCTTAGTTTGTCTTGCTTTGTGCAAAACCAATATTTAGTTATTTTTGGTGAAAGAGATGTTTGCTAAATGTGCTGTTTTTTTATAACTGAGAGGATGTAAATTAATTAACTAAATATTTTTTTAGGGCTGTCAAATGATTAATCGTGATTAATCGCATCCAAAATAAAAGTTTGTGTTTACATAATATATGTGGGTGCACTGTGTATAATTATTTTATATATATAAATACACACACATGCTTGTATATATTTAAGAAATATTTTCATGTATATAGATTTATATATAATTTATATTACATATAAATATAAATATTTTATATATAAATAATTTTTTTTCTTAAATATACATGCATGTGTGTGTATTTATATATATATACAAAATAATTATACACAGTGCACCCACATATATTATGTAAACAAAAACTTTTATTTTGGATGTGATTAACCGTGATTAATCATTTGACAGCCCTAATTTTTTTCAATTACTATTTAGAGGTACACTAATTATATTTTGGCCCTCTAATGGTTAAAAAACAAAACTGCATGCATTTTGCAGAAGAACATTGTTTTGGTTGTGCTTCGACTCATCGAATGAATATGGTTATCCTACTGCTCATAAAACATTCACTACTAGGCTTGAAAGATATGACCAGTTTAGATGAAAATGATTTCAAGCTGTCTTGACCATAGACTGTAAAAAAAAAGATGGACGCGAGTGTCCTGATATGGCGCTGACATCTTGGGACTTGAGTCTGCGCAGTAGCGATTTGGGACCAGACCTGGGCCGTAGTGAGCAGGAAGTAAAGCCGTGAAATCAAGGCCGCGCCCTCACTCTCGCAGAATCTGTCGCAAGAACACACACCTGCACTTTTTAAAAAAATGAATTATAGAAATTTATATATTAAATTTAAAGCTCCAATCTCCTCAGTCCTCCGAAGATCCTGAAAAAAAAGTCTGCTTCAGTGACTACTTCGCTCAGAGAACCTGTCAATCACAGCTGTCAATCATGCGGTCACCACCACCGTATCAATTAAATAACTAACTAAAAACAAACTTATTTTAAAAACAAACACTTGAAATTATATCAGCGTGATTAAAAACTTACAGTAAATGACAGAAATCATCTTTGGAAAAGTGATATGTAATTTAATTGTTTAGTGGGTCTCACGTGCCATTGAATAACATGGGGAGGCGGGATTTATGACCTATACCAAGACCGGCCACCGGGGGGCGATCGACTTTTCAGGCATTGTGCGGCACGCTTGGTCTAGATATGGTACGTCCTTGAAAATAAATCCCAGTACAGCGCTACAACAACCCTTCACACAATAGATAATGCTTTACAATGGCCTCTGTTAGAGAGCTACATAAGGCAATTTTTCTGTTCAATAAAATACTGTTCTCTCGCCATCTTTGAAAAGCCAAGCTAATGTTGATCCTTGTTTTATCATGAGCTCTGGCGTGTTCTCTTTGCCAGCAGACTCTCGACTTTTCTGCGTTTTTATAAACGGGTGATTCCCCAGAGGTTTGAGATTTAGCATGTCCATCATGTCCGCATGTCAACCTTTTCCACCCAGTGTGTCAACTAACCTTTGACACTACACCATACATGCATCAAAGTGGCCGGTGACCAACTTTTCTCTATTTATGGATATGACGAGAAATGCACGAACAAGTGACGTATGATATAAACACTTATTATAATAAGCTTACCATTATGTATCAGGGTAAGACACAAACACGTTTTGGAACAAGGATTGATGAGGTATTGACTCATTAAATATTTGTATTATTTTGAGGAAAAAAAGTTACTGTGTATGTACCTTTAAAATGTGTAATTTATGTATTACCACCTTCACCAAAAATGACGAATAAACACTTCCTCCATCTACCATTGGTTGGACAAATAGATAGTCCTGCCCTAAAACTTAATTGAATTTAGTTAATTTACAAACGGCTTGCTTATAGTTGTTTAATCAGAGAAAATATGTGAACATAAAATACTAACATAATTAAAAATACTGTTTTGTATGTCTTATTATAGGAATCTGTCCAAGAAGTATCAGCTGAAGAAGAACTCTAAAGATGAGGAGGAATACAAGTGAGTGAGAACAGTTGCCATACATAAATCATACACATGCATTGATATCTTAAACATAGCCATTTACTAATGATGTATCAGCTTTACTTACACAAAACCGTTAATGTCCTGTATACTAGGGTTCAAAAGTTTGGAATGTAAGATTTTATGAATATTTATTATAGAAGTCTCTAATGCTCACGCTGCATTTTTTATTGTGAAATATTATTATAATTTAAAATAACTGTTCTCTATTTGAACATATTTTAAAATGTAATTTTTATACCTGTGATCGAAGATGAATTTTCAGCATTAATACTCCAGTATTCAGTGTCCCACAATCCTTCAGAAATCAGTCTAATATGCTGATTTGCTGCTCAAGAAACTTTTCTTATTATTATCAAGGTTGAAAATAATTTCATGAATCCTTACTGAAGAAAATAATTTCAACCCAAACTTTGACTGGTAGTTTACAAATAAATTAGTGTTCATTTAATTGGAGAAATTTTGCATAGGTCTCATATGCTGTAATTACATTGCATTATTTGGTTGCACCAAAATTATTTGTACAATTAAGCAAGACTGGCTTGAATGTAGAACAAAATATCAAACTTTACAAGTATTATTTAAAAGGAACAATAACATGCTTTTCAATCCAAATCTTTATCAAAAAATAAGTTTATTAGGTTGAAACCAATTAGTTAAAAGTGCTCATAAAACTGACATACATACATTTTTAATGTGATTTAAAGGGATAGTTCACTTTGAAATTAATTTTTGCTATGTTTTAGCTTACCTCAAGGGCATCCAAGATGCAGGTGTCTTTGTTTCCGCAGTTGTTTCAATTTTTATATTTTTATCAAGTTTGTGTCTGTCAGTCATATAATGGAGGTCTATGGTCACCACCTCTAAGAGCATGCACAGAGAAGTCCAAATTAAACATGATTTAATGACTCGTAATTGTAAGTACACATTGATGGCCTAAGACATGAAACGAGTGGTTTCTGTGAGAAAACGAACAGTATTTATATCGTTTTGCATTTTTGTGATTACAAGAGGTAAAACGATATAAATACTGTTCATTTTCTCACACAAACCGCTCGTTTTGTGTCTTAGGCCATCAATGTGTACTTACATTTACGAGTCATTAAATCATGTTTAATCTGGACTTCTCTGTGCATGCTCTTTGAGGTGGTGACCATAGACCTCCATTATATGACTGACAGACAAGAACGGTTTGACCTAAAAATATCAAAACTGAAACAACTGCGGAAACAAAGACACCTGCATCTTGGATGCCCTTGAGATAAGCTAAAACACACCAAAAATGTATTTCAAAGTGAACTATCCCTTTAAGGGTCCATACATCTTTGGGGGGCCACTATGTATTTTGGCCTTACATTGATCAGCATTGATATCAGCATCAATATCAGCCATTAAAAAAATAATAATAATAAGTTGACCACTATTGTAGTCTAAATCATGAGTGGGCCATTTTTAATTAAGGAAGAGAAACTCATTTTTGTCACATCTATAATGTCTCATCTTGCTTTTTGTTGATGTATTATAACGTTTTCACTTTTGCTGTTAGGTACACGTCATGTAGAGCATTTCTGATTACCTTAAATGAGCTGAACGACTACGCGGGTCAACACGAGGTCATCGCCGAAAACCTGTCCTCTCAGATCACCGCCGAATTGACCCGCTACACTCAAGAACTGAAGGCTGAACGGAAATCGGTACGAACATGTCTTTTCCGTGCTTTTCTTGTCAGGACGATGCCAAAAAATCCTGCTTTCTAGCGATCATTTACGGAGAGATAATCTTCCAAAAAAAAGAATCAAATCCCTCAATAACATGAATCACCCATTCAGTGCATGTATGAAACTACAGCAATTCTTTCTCTGCGCTCCAGCACAGGCTCACCTCTTACAAATCCCGGGTTAATCGCGGAGGAATATGGTATTATTTTGTTTATGATTTCTCCCAGCTCCGTGGAATGAAGCCAAACCCAATGTGGGTCATGTACTGTATTCAGGTCAATGGAGTTTGAGAAGGTCGCCCTCCCCCCGCTCTTGGCCTCTCTCGTCTAAAGGTTCTAGCACGGGTTCAGGAGGCCTCTGTCTGAGGCTGGTGGCTGGAAGTAATACGACAGCAGAGTAAAACACCACCGCGCACGAGCTGAGGGAAGCTTCATTCCCTCTGATGATGCATTTAGTCTGCCTTTTGTGTTCAAATGTCACTCTGAGAGAAAGTGGTCTTTATGTATTTTTCATAAAGAGAGTAGTGGAATGCCATGAGTGGGAAGACACAAGCGATCGCCTGTGCCAGTTTGTCAGGGAAGTTTTCGCTAATGAGAACCCCTAAATAAATGATTAGTGTTCCAGCGAGGAATTCTGCAGTTAATTAACATTTATTGTACAAGAGTATGTCTTTGCTGCCGTAATTGATTTCTTTATGGAATGACGAGGGGTTTGGATTCAGCGATAGCTCTGGAATATAATCTTTCTAACAGCTGCTGTCTGGCTTGATTGTCTTATATTTCATTTAATCAGCTTAGTTTCCAATTAAATGTCTTTTCAGCATAATATTTGAAATGGACGTGTTGGACTGTGATAGTTGTCACGACTGTGCAAGAGCTGAATTAGAAATTCCTAATCCTCAAACCCCCTTAATTATGGTAAAAATTACTGTACAATACAGTTTGTCATGGATTGTTTCTGGTATAAACAGCCACATTTGAAAAAATGTACTTTTTCTGATAATTTACTCACCCCCATGTCATCCAAGATGTCCATGTCTTTCTTTCTTCAGTCGAAAAGAAATTAAGGTTTCTGATGAAAACATTCCAGGATTTTTCGCCATATAATGGACTTCATTGGGAACCATCCCTACAAAAAAAAAGAAAGAAATTGTAATAGTTTTATTCATCAAAAATGCATTAAATTGATCAAAAGTGACAGTAAAGATACTTATAATATTACAAAAATGTCTATATTTTTTATTCAACAAAGGATCCTGAAACAAAATTAAGCATGTGGATCATGTGATACTGACTGCTGCTGAAAATTCAGCGTTGCCATCTCAGGAATACATTACATTATAAGATATTTTGGTAACACTTTACAATAAGGTTCGTTAGTTAACATTAGTTAACTACATTAGTTAATATGAACTAATAATGAATAGCACGCCACATATACAGCATTTGTTAATCTTTGTTAATGTTATTTTCAACATTTACTAATACTTGATTAAAATCTTGTTACCATTAGTTAATGCACCGTGAACTAACATGAACAAACAATGAACAGCTTTATTTTCATGAACTAACATTAACAAAGATGAACAAATGCAGTAACAAATGTATTGCTCATGGTTACATTAACTAATGTTAACTAATGAACCTTATTGTAAAGTGTTACCGATATTTTATATTGTAATTATTTGTATATTAAAGTTTTTACTGCATTTTTGATGGAATGAATGCAGCCTTGGTGAGCATGAGATGGAAACGAATCTTAACAACCCTAAACTTGTGAATGGTAGTGTATTAAATTGTAATTCTATTTCTTGTCTTTTCTGTCCTATAGCATTTCCATGATGGCCGCAGAGCGCAACAGCACATTGAGAATTCCTGGAAGCAGCTGGAATCGGTGAGTCAGTTTAACTGAACAGAACAAAGTGTGACTATTCAAATTTCTCCTGATACTCCCTTCTCTTTCATCACCTGTCTGAGATATGAGCTAAAACTGGGGCGCTTTGTACAGTAAACGCTTGTGTGAAATGAGCCACAGGTGTTTGTAAAAGGTGTCTCTTTTAAAATAAGCAACAACTTACTGCTACAGGTTTTCATACAAAAAGAAAGTAAATATTCTGGTTTCACATACAGGGCTTAGATTAAAGGGATAGTTCACTTTGAAATAAATGTTTGATATCTTTTAGCTTACCTCAAGGGCATCCAAGATGTAGGTGTCTTTGTTTCCGCAGTAGTTTCAATTTTGATATTTTTAGGTCAAACCATTGTTGTCAGTCATATAATGGAGGTCTATGGTCACCACCTCAAAGAGCATGCACAGAGAAGTCCAAATTAAACATGATTTAATGACTCGTAAATGTAAGTACACATTGATGGCCTAAGACACGAAAAGAGCGGTTTGTATGAGAAAACTAACGGTATTTATATAGTTTTTACCTCTTGTAACCACAGCCACAAAGCGCCAGCGCCCTCAGATCACTTGGACGTGGCTGTGGTTACAAGAGGTAAAAATGATATAAATACTGTTAATTTTCTCACACAAACTGCTCGTTTCGTGTCTTAGTCCATCAATGTGTACCTACATTTACAAATGTTTAAAACATGTTTAATTTGGACTTCTCTGTGCATGCTCTTTGAGGTGGTGACCATAGACCTCCATTATATGACTGAACGGTTTGACCTAAAAATATCAAAATTGAAACTACTGCGGAAACAAAGACAGCTACATCTGGGATGCCCTTGAGGTAAGCTAAAACATAACAAAAATAATTTCAAAATGAACTATCCCTTTAAGCCAGGATTGGGCCTTAGTTCCTTTAGGAAATTTAAGTAGCTTCAAAACATTACTGATGTGCATTTTGAAACTAACTGGGGGATAGAGTAACTAATTAGAAGTAGCGCCACTACAAGCTGAACTACGTTTTTTTAGTCACTTTATCGTTGCATACTTTTTTCAGCAATTAAAAAAAGAATAATTTAATACCTCATTTTAATGCAAGTTTCTTTGCTCTTTTCAGAGTAAGAGAAGATTCGAAAGAGACTGTAAGGAAGCGGATCGCGCCCAGCATTACTTCGACAAGGTGGATGCCGACATTAACGTGACTAAAGCAGACGTGGAAAAGGTATGGATCACGTGTGTGTGTGTGTGATGGAGAAGGGACCGATCCTATCATAAAACCCCTCATTCTCCATGACTGCTTTCATCCTTTTCTGTGAGTCTGTGTGGATGATCCCTCTTTCGAACGAGGCGGTGGTGACGGACGCTGATATAACCGTTGTCAAGTTCCCACCTTACACCTTTTACTGTACCTCACCTGCTCCTACCTTCTCTGTACTGCAGAAAATACCCATTTTGTTCAAAGAGAAGTTGGACATTATGCACGATAAATCTGTGATCAAATTGGTACCTGCTAAATTTTCGTTGTTTTTTATTTGGCATTGGGCAGATATTTTAATAGATATTATATTAGTTTCCAATTCAAACAAACCAAGGAGGTTTCAAAAACTTAAACTGTTTGCTTTCTACTTTACACAGATATATAGGCAAAATTATAAACTGGAGCTTTAGTATTAACCACTAAGGCTGTACAATGTATATTGTAAGTAGTATTCACCATGATTATAATTGCAAATTGAATTAAAACAATTAAGCGGCATTGTGAATAATGAGGTGATATTAATGTACTTTTTTGAGGTCAATGATTTAGTTTTGCAATCTCTCGCTATTATGAAAGTGTTAACACAGAGATGTTTAATAGTGTTTCAAATTTAAATTAGTAAGTTTCATTCATTTTTGTGAATATTTCAAAAACTATCTGTTTCAATAATTTAATACAAACCCAATAAATTGACTTTAGTGTAAACAAATAATGTGAAAAATAATTCAATAATTGTTTATGTTGCTCAGGTCTAAAATTCACTGTTGCAAATAAACTAATCAAATGATAAAATATATAAAATGCATATTTCGGAATCACAAGCTTAATCAACATTTACTAATACATTATTAAAATCAAAAGTTGCATCTGTTATTATTATTTAATGGACCTCATATAACATGAACTCAACTGACCCTCCTCAATTAATATTTTTTATTAATTAACGTTAACAAAGATTTATACATACTGTAACAAATGTATTGCTCATTCTTAATACATTTTAGATAACGCATTAACTAATGGGACCTTATTGTAAAATGTTACCAGAATGTTTTTTTTTATTATTTAAATGTTCAATAATAAGCTCAAAGACCACAAAAAAATAGAATAAAATATAGATTTTTTTTTTTCAATAAGAAAGAAAAAACAACTAATATGGCAGCGGCCTGTCTGTTGTTATTATTATAACAAGGCTAAATGATCAGATTTGGATTTTGTTTAGCCCATGTATAGATGTCTTCTTAAGTAACTTCTGTTATTAGTGTGTCTGTGACACTAATCGACTCTGTCTTTGTTTTTTAACATGTCTTAAAGCGGTGTTCTCTCAAGGTAGGTTTGAACCAAGAGTCGTCTTTGTCGGTGAGGAGTTTGTCAACTTGTTCGGTGTATTACCCATATCAGCAAAGAGTGTTTGTCGTAATTTTCGTTGTTTTTCGTTTTTTAGCTTTTGTTACGTTCACGTCTATGCTTGCAGCGAACCTTTCCTGTATTCACCTTCTACAAATGTACAGAATAAGACTTGTCATGGAAGACTGATGTTAAATTGCATTTCGATTGCGAAAATGGGCTACGTTTACGCTTAGGGTTACACAAAATCAATAGCTATTACTGTCACCCACAAAAAGTCCTGAGTTTGAGAGTCTGTTCACACTGTCTGGTTCATGTACATGATGTTGTATACAGTATGTACAGTGACCACTAAAAGCATTTAGACTCTTTAAATTGAATGAATTTCATTGCATTATGTGCTGTATTAAATCAAGTGACACAAACGCAATTCTCAAGCAAAACATTTCAGTTAGTTTTGTTTTAGATATGTTGTATCAAAATACTCTGACACTTTGGGGTTGCAAAATTTGAGTGAAACAATTAATGCGATGAACTATACCTGTTAGGATTGTAGTCTAACAGGTATAGTTAGGAAGCCATTGGTTATTTCTCAGAAAAGCTTAACCTTTTTTGCATATGCAACTTGTATTTATATTTTGTGTTTAATGCAATTAACATTCACATATTTGTGTGTGACTTAAGGATCCAGATGCTTTTTTGGTCTGCTGTTTGTGTTTAGTTAGTATGCATGATGAATGGATGTCTGGTGCGAATAGTTTGGATCATTTTCACATTTTGTTTTGGGAACATTCATTGTCATTTTAGTGTGTGTGTGTGTGTGTGTTTGTTTATTAATTTTCTCATACACTGTCGATATTCCATCGTGTTATTTTTGTCAGAGAGTTTAAAGTCACCAAGAAATCAAAATTGACACTTCTTTTATTGTGTGTGTGTGTGTGTGTGTGTGTGTGTGGAATATTGCAGTATTATTATAAATTATTTACCTGTTTACATCAATGTTTTTAGAAAATTCATTCAATTTCAGCGACTAAATTTTGTCTTGTTTCTGAAGCCTTTTCAATCGGATATACAGTACACTCACCTAAAGGATTATTAGGAACACCTAATCAACTGTAACATCTAATCAACCAATCACATGGCAGTTACTTCAATGCATTTAGGGGTGTGGTCCTGGTCAAGACAATCTCCTGAACTCCAAACTGAATGTCAGAATGGGAAAGAAAGGTGATTTAAGCAATTTTGAGCGTGGCATGGTTGTTGGTGCCAGACGGGCCGGTCTGAGTATTTCACAATCTGCTCAGTTAAGGCGGGCATACACTGTGCGATTTTCTTCCGATTTTGAGCCGAATTCTGACTCGTGCGACTCATTTTCGTGTCGGACCGATTTTCAGCTTTGTCGTGCGTCGTTTGTCGTGCAGTGTTCGGGAGAAACGAGAGGCGATTAACCTCTCACGATCGACAATCGGATGGTCGGATGAATTTCTGGCATGTCAGAAATTTTGGTCGCTCCTCGTGACTATATCGCACAGTTGAAGCAAAGCTACGAACCGATTGCCCTAAACTCAGTGTTTTTTCCCTCACTGCACCTGCGCGAAAACAGAAGTTTAACCATTTCATCTGCAGCAAAAATAAAATTAAAATAAAAACGAGCTACAAATTACTGTTGCTTACCTCCAGTTCGTGTTGCAAAATGGATAATATTACCCACCGTCTTCAAGCCACCTGATATGCAACACCTCTTTTATTATTTTGTCAAACAATGTTTTTGAAATAAACCTGTTTTTAATTTTCATTGATGATTAATAATGGCAATGTTCGGACATATTATAGACTGTTAATAGTTATTTTATATATAATTCATTGTAATCGACCTAAATGTTTTAGACAATTTTTAATGAGGAGTAAGATTAATATTTTACTATCCTCACAGCACGTTGGTTATGTGCTGTGAAAATATTGCGTGGCAAATTAATTATAATAGCGGATCAATTTAATAGTAAAATTAGCCTATAGGCCTCCCCTAATAATGATAATATAATAATAATAATAATAATTAAATGCATAAATTGAAAATACTAAATCATCTTGATACTGATAGCAGATGCTTGTTTTGACAATATCTCTGGATACATACACGTAAATAGGCGCAATCCAGGGGGTTATCGCAGATATTACACGTATAGTGTGAGCAGTGAAGTCGCAGCTCGACGATCGGACCGAACAGTGTGAGCACATAAATCCTGAACTTTGGCTTTGCATCGCATGCGATTTACTCGTTCAGTGTGAGTAGGTACCTTGCTGAAATCGCACAGACATCGCACAGTGTATGCCCGCCTTTACTGGGATTTTCACGCACAACCATTTCTAGGGTTTACAAAGAATGGTGTGGAAAGGGAAAAACATCCAGTATGCGGCAGTCCTGTGGGCGAAAATGCCTTGTTGATGCTAGAGGTCAGAGGAGAATGGGCCGACTGATTCAAGCTGATAGAAGAGCAACTTTGAGTAAAATAGCCACTCGTTAAAACCGAGGTATGCAGCAAAGCATTTGTGAAGCCACAACACACACAACCTTGAGGCGGATGGGCTACAACAGCAGAAGACCCCCCCGGGTACCACTCATCTCCACTACAAATAGAAAAAAGAGGCTACAATTTGTAAGAGCTCCCCAAAATTGGACAGTTAAAGACTGGAAAAATGTTGCCTGGTCTGATGAGTCTCGATTTCTGTTGAGACATTCAGATGGCGTAAAGAAGGAGTCAGAATTTGGTGTAAACAGAATGAGAACATGGATCCATCATGCCTTGTTGTGCAGGCTGGTGGTGGTGGTGTAATGGTGTGGGGGATGTTTTCTTGGCACACTTTAGGCCCCTTAGTGACAATTGGGCATCATTTAAATGCCACGGCCTACCTGAGTATTGTTTCTGACCATGTCCATACCTTTATGGCCACCATGTGCGCATCCTCTGATGGCTACTTCCAGCAGGATAATGCACCATGTCACAAAGCTTGAATCTTTTTTAAATTGGTTTCTTGAACATGACAATGAGTTTACTGTACTAAAATGGCCCCCACAGTCACCAAATCTCATCCCAATAGAGCATCTTTGGGATGTGGTGGAACGGGAGCTTCGGGTCCCACAAATCTCCATCAACTGCAAGATGCTATCCTATCAATATGGGCCAACATTTCTAAAGAATGCTTTCAGCACCTTGTTGAATCAATGCAACATAGAATTAAGGCAAAGGGGGTCAAACACAGTATTAGTATGGTGTTCCTAATAATCCTTTAGGTGAGTGTAGGTCACAATAGGGATCACAACTTCTGTTTCATGCTGAATTGAACTATGCAAATGTGCTAATGCAGCGGTAAATCAACCGACGGCCTTGTTATCGAATAATGCACATTTTCGGTTTTTGTTTATATTTGAGTGGACAGTGGCACTCAGTAAATGTGTAAAGCAAGTCATTCAATTCCAGTAGTCAAAAAGTCATTCTCCTATCAGTTAAACTCTACATAAAAAAAGATGAAACATAGCTAGCTTTTGCGTTATTTTTCCTGAGCACATCATTTGATCATATTTCTGTGTTCGATCTGTGCTGCTTGCGTTGTCTGTTCTCTCTCTCGCACAGAGCGCTTGGTTAAGTGTGTAGATCACTGACTCTATTGATCTGAAGTTGACATCAGGCTATGTTTATATTATATTCTGTAATCGGCTAATAGACTCTCACTGTTTGTTTACTTGTCATGTCAAAAGGTGATCGTTTTATTTGTCAGTCCTTGGCCTTTACGTTCTGATGTCATTCTTTATTGAAAGGATCTTAGTTCATTTTTTTCTCTCTGTCTTTCTAGGCGAAACAGCAAGCTCAGTTGAGGCATCAGGTAGCCGAAGACAGTAAAAACGAGTACCTGACATACTTGCAGAAGTTCAACAAGGACCAACACGAGCACTACTACACCCTCATACCACATATCTTTCAAGTAATTGTCTCTCTTTATCATAAATTAAAAATGGTATTAAAATATTCAGTCACACTTTAGATTAGGGTCCAATTCTCACTATTAACTAACTATTAACTATGACTTTTGCCTCAGTAAATCCTAAGTGCTGCTTATTAATAGTTAGTAGTAAGGTTATTACAGTAAGATGTAGAATGATGTCAGAATAAGCATTAATATGTGCTTTATAAGTACTAATAAACAGCCAATACACTAGTAGTATGCATGCTAATAAGCAACTTGTTCATAGAGCAAATTGGACCCTAAACTAAAGAGTTACCAAATATTCGAATGTTGATGAAAGAAAAATATGCTATTAAGCTTAACTTTTATGTCTTATATGCATTGGTTGGACCATGAACTTCACAATGAAATATTGCATGGTTTAATGGTGTTTTCTCTTTTGCAGAGGATACAGGAGATGGAGGAGAGGCGAGTGGGCAGGGTGAGGGAGAGCATGCGGGTGTACACTGAGGTCGAGCGTAAAGTATTACCCATCGTCAGCAAGTGTCTGGATGGCATGACCAAGGCAGCTGAGTCCATCGAGCCTAAAATGGTACGTAAAGTGCTACGGCTCCTTTATGCTGAAAATACACTGTGGTTCCGGATTCCATAGCCATCTGTTGATCAGCCTATAGCTGGAATATCCTATTCAATGAAGTCTTTTAGGCCATAAAGTACATTTTTAGCAATGTGGTTGAGAATCGAGAACTGGTTCTACAAAATAGCACAAACGCAATGCCCAATCAGTGTCTCTGAGATCGGTTATTTTAATAAATCAGTCAAAAATATTTGCAAATCACTTTTAGACTCAGATTACTACTTACTTATGAAGTGTGATATTTGCAGCACTAATTTAGTTTCTAAGAATCTATAATCATTAATATTGGCAAGACTTTCCAATAAAGGTCCCTTTAGTTAAAGGGATAGTTCACCCAAAAATGAAAACTGTCATTAATCATTATCATGTCGTCATAATCATAATTGTCATCATGTCCTTCCAAAACCGTAAGACTTTTGTTCATCTTCAAAACACAAATGAAGATCTTTTTTAAGAAATCGTTTTGATGAGCTTTGTGTCCCTCCATTGACAGCTACACAACTAACACTTTGACACATTAAATAGTTCATAAAGAGATTGTAAAACTTGGGTGGTTTAGTCCAAATTTTCTTAAAAGACACAATCGCTTTATATGATGAACAGATTGAATTTATTCAAAGTTCAAATGACATCATTTTCATTTTTGGGTGAACTATCCCTTTAACAGAGCTATACATTTGTTATAGTTTTTATTAATCGTTCTTTTTTAATTTTACTTTAACAATAAACAGTAGTAATTTTGTTAGTTTATATTATCTCGGGTCCATTAAAAAAATATTAAGATACAATTCTTGATTTTAATAATGCATTAATAAATGTTAAAATAAACATGAACTTATTTAGAAGTCTTTTTTGTTCATGCTAGCAAATGGAAAATTAAGTGTTAGCATAATCATTAGCATAAGCATCAAGACATTTTTATGCACTACTGTTCAGTGTGGGGTCAGTATGATTTTTCTTGAAAGAAATCTCAGCAAGGCTGCATTTAGTAAAAACAGTAATATTCTGAAATATTATTACAATTTTAAATAACGTTTTTCTATTTGAATTTATGTTAAAATGGCATTTATTCTTGTGATCAAAGTGGAATTTTCAGCATCATTACTCCAGTCTTCAGTGTCACATGACCCTTCAGCTTTCAAAAACCAAAGAAGAAAAAATCTCCAAACTTTTAAATAGGATGCATAAGGTCGGATTCACATTTAGCGCCTAAAAACGCGTAGAAAACGCTGGGCGCGCCGCATTCTCCATTTTCCAAAGCGCCAGGGCGGTTGCGCTTCAGTTGGTTCTTGTCACATGACCTATTGTGTGCGTATGGTGCGCTTGCGGTATTCTGAAAAGTTGAGATTGCAAAACCGCGACTGCATCGCTTCAATTATGAGCGCGCATACATTTGAAATAACGAAATTGAGCGTGCAAAAGACGCGATATGTGAACCGGCCCTAAACTGGCTATAAAAATGAAATGAAAACTGAAAATTAAAAATTAAAGAATGAATAAGAAAGGGGGGCAATAATTAAGATGAGGACTTGTAGGACTATGATTTGTAGAAGCAGCACATAGGAGTTTTCCTGGCTGCGAGGTAGTTCAACTTTCCATATGAAGCCAGCAGATGAATAATAAAGCAGTTGAAAATGCTGACTAGATTTCTGTGATTATCGCTGGCCCACTTACAAGCTAACGAGTGGTGAGTAATAGAGTGTCGTCGCCCAGGTTACCATCAATAATTTACAGCTGCGGGGGAATGGCTGGAAGGCTGATGTGCCTGTTGTCTGTCTCATCTGCTAAATCCCGTCCCAGTGCTCATGTGGCCTATGTCGTCCTGTCCAAATATGGCAGATGGGAAGTCTAATTTCCAGCGCAGCACTAATTGACTCATACGAGCTGGGTTTTGCAGCAGATTTGAAGTGGCTTAGCAACAAAGACTTAAGCCTCTCTGTGGCTTTTGGGCTGTGTGTGTGTGTGGACGTAGAGTATGTGTGTGTGTGTCTTTTCAAAGATAGTGTGCTGGCCATATGAAGCAGCCCTCCATAAATCAACCTCCTACAGAAGTCATTGGTTCATTTGGTTGGGTTATGGATGCCATGTATATGCTAAAAATAGTCTCTTGGTCTGACCTGAACTATAGTAGAGGGATTAGATCAAGGGGATTTACAGCTGTCTTATTTCTGTGGTGGATGTGCATTTCATTGTCTGTCGTACATACATAATTGTTCTGTGATTATGACTATCTTTGGTTAACCTGTAGGTTACAGTGAAGTCTGTATTGCCAAAGTAAATCACCCATGACAGTGTTTCATACAGGATTTAGCTTCTTTAGCAAGATTAATAACTTGATAGACAATGATACTTTTTGTATTTATACAGTGATTATATATATATATATAAAATTGTTAAAATATAATATTATTTAATTATTTATATTTAATTTATTTATTTACAACTCTGATGCGACATGTGAGTATGTATCTAATATATTTTAAATTCTATTCAAAAATATTCTCAATTATTTTCTAAATATAATCTAATAATATTTTCTTATTTTATATATATATATACTGTATATATATGCGTAACTTTTATATATTTTATATAACAAAATGTTTAAGTTTTTCTTCTGTTGAATTATATTTAAAGTATAAGAAAATCCACTGTTTAAAATTCATTAAATTCGTGATGTTTACAAAGTCAATGATCATTAGTATTAAATAATCATGATCACAATAGTGACCAAAATAATCTTGATCGTGATTTTTTATATAATCGAGCAGCCCTATAACAAAATAACAGTTCTGGGCTCATTTTGAGTCAGATGTATACAGTACTTGCGGTTTACAAAATGAATTAGTTATCTGATTCAATACAGAAGTGAATAATTCAGTTTGATTCGCCAGTAGGTTTTAACTAATTTATTCAAAAGAACCTCACCAGTCGAACTCATTGGCTGTATTTGAAGTTGAGAAAAATGCAATAGAAAGTTATGTTGCCGTTTATATTTTATAGCATATTTAATTTTTTTAAATGATATACGTTACAGTGAACAGACTTTGCTAAATGAAATATCTCTGGTTTGTGTTAGAAAATGTAGCGATGATTCTAAACCCACTTAACTTGAAGAGTCATCCTAATCTCTCTTTGTTATAGCACAAAGCCTTACATTTTTATCCCTTTTTTAATCTCAGGACAGTAAGCAAGTTGTAGAATCCTACAAGTCTGGCTTTGAGCCGCCGGGTGACGTGGAGTTTGAGGACTACAGTGTGTCAATGAAGAGGGCCGTGTCAGAATCAAGCTTCCTCAATGCTCGCGGAGAGAGCAGACGCCGGAGCAGGAGCAAACTGTGGCCTTTACTCAAGAGAAATAAGGTACGGCATTAGACGGATCTGTGGATCATAAACACCTTCTAAAATCACAGATAAGCAAAAAACAGAACTGGACACTACGCAGTTATATTCAAGAAGTTTTATTGCTATTTGCAGGGGCTATTTTCAGCAGTTCGTTATAACAGAATCTTATACTGATGATTAAAAAGTTGCGATAATCCGATAGTGGCGTATATCCGAGTAAAACAAAAACATTTATGGCCGGGCGCGACTTGATTTTGTTCTTTGGGAATCAATTGGATGCTTCTAGTTTGCTATTGGTCGATCTTATTTGAGTGACAGGTTGTCCTGCCCTCACTCCAAAAAACACTTCATCAGAGAAGAAATGTCGCTAGGGGAAGGGAAGTTAATTTGATTAAGGATTATGAGGGCATATCAAAATATTGATGTGCAGGGATAAATTTATAATAAATACTGCAATAGTCCTTAACATTTTAATTTCATGGTAACTAAAGCCGAGTTGACACTGTACAACTTTGAGAATTCTGAAAGATTCTGAAGTCTTTGATCGCTAGTTTGACATGTTTACCGATTAATAACCAATTGCAATCAAATTTGACCTCAACGACAACTGTCAAATCTAAAACCAATAGGAAAATAGGAAGTAAACACGGGTATGTGAGCTGGCTGAATTAACATCATTTTTATTAATATCTTTCACATCTACTGCAGTCAGATTGACCGTGGTCACTCTTAATAACACGTCTCACATGGCTGTGCACTCGTAATGACAAATCAAGGATGTTAAGAGACTAAAAAGCAGGTTTAGAACTTCCCCCATTGAAGTCAACAGGGCGCAAATTAAAAAAAAAAGGATAACACGGTGTAGGCAACACTGATTTTTGACGTTTTTGTCTGAAATGTTAAAATTGACCGGAGTTCTCCTTTAATAAAGCTTGCAATGAGTTTTTTAGTCACCTCATGAGAAGCACTAAACATTGGCTTTGGCCTTGAATATTTCTCTCTCTTCATCTTCTCTCTTCCTGTCTTTCTCCATTCCATTTCTCAATGTGCTCCATCACACCCTCATCTGTAGCTTATGTCTTTGTTAGCGTCGCCCCGCCAGCCCCCTCCCCCTCCCCCCACCTCCCCGTCCCCGGACGGCCTCCTCAACGGCCCCCAGTCCCCGCAGCAGCCCAAGGAGCCCCTGAGCCAGCGCCTCAACGACTTCATGAGCACCAAACACAAAATGCACTGCCTGCGGAGCCTGAAACGCGGGGTAAGTTCACGAGTCGCCACGTCACGCGTGTGTGTTTCCCGTGGATCTGATTGGACGACCCCAGACACTGAAGCATCATCAGCTCAGTTTGGTTCTAAAGTAATGTGTGGATGTGTAATCGGTGTCTCGTTCTCATGCTTTTTATCAACGCCATCATTAACATGTCTGTCTTAACAGTAACATGAAACTCCATGTTTTCTGTGTGTGTGTGTGTGTGTGTGTGTGAAATAACAATTTCCCCTAACACGTTTTTTCTTGTCTTAACATTCACAGCTTTCTCTAAAGCTGGTAAGTCTGACTTGATATTAAAATGTGCTATAAAGACTGTTTATTTTGTATATTATATATTTTCATTTTGACTACACACTGAATTTGTGATGCTTGAAGTAAAGCAAGATATAAATATTAAGGTTTGACAGTCAAACTGATCCACATTATAGCTGATCCTGTCCAAGATCTTAACTGGCAAGCTGTTTGTGTTTGGTTTGTTGGTTTTTAACTCAGAACTTTCTTTCTCTTTTCCCAGGGAACAGGCCAGGAGGACTACAGTCATCTTCCCCCCGAGCAGAGGAGGAAGAAACTACAGGCCAAGCTCAATGACATCAACAAGGACATCCAGAAAGAGATGGATCAGAGGTAAGTCATCATGCTGGGAATAGCAACAGCCTTTCTGCTAAATACCTCATCGTTGTTTAAAACATACACTACCGTTCGAAAGTACAATATTTCTTTAAGATAAAGGCACATTGCATTGAAAGAGAGTATATATAATATACGATATGATCTAACAAAATGTTCACATGCTTATTGTTCTTCTTATAATTGTTTGCAGGGACGCCCTGACTAAAATGAAAGATGTCTACATTAAAAATCCTCACTTGGGGGATCCAGACAGTATAGATCCACGGTTAGAAGAAATCACACAAAGCTTGGAAAAATTGCAGCTTGAGGCACATAAATTTGAAGTGAGTCAAATTCGGTCAGGTACCTTCAAATGTCAATCGTGAATATGTATTCTGTGATTTATGTGTGTTTTTCTCTCATAGTCAGTGTATAGTATAATATTGTATTGGATGTTTACTACCTGTATTTGAGTCCCTTATATAAATATATGTGTATTTTGTAAATTGTAAATATTTTTAATACTGTACATGTGGTGTGTTCTCAGGGCTGGCTGACGGAGGTGGAGAGGAAGTTACTTGAAAAGGGATCTGAGTCTCAGAGAAGACAGAGCAATCATTTTGACTCGCAGGGCAACACGCCTCTTACAAACAACTACGGTCAAAACCGAGAGAGGTACTTCAGTCCCTAGACAGCAGGGCTGCCAAACATGATGCACAGAATGAGATGTCACATTTATTTAAAGGGTGCATGTAATGAGAGTTCAATTGACTATGAAAACATAAAGGGATAGTTCCCCCAAAAATGAAAAAAACTCCAACCCTGTATGAATTCATTTCTTCTGCTGAACACAAAAGAAGATATTTTGAAGATTGTCGGTAACCAAACAGTTGATGGACCCCATTGACTTCCATAGTGTTAGTTACCTATATTCTTCAAAATATCTTCTTTTGTGTTGAGCAGAAGCAAATAAATGATGACAGAATTAACATTTTTGGGTCAACTATCCCTTTATCTTTCATAACTCTAATGGATGCATCTCTGAACTCTTTGACATAATAAAAAATGTGTATGAAAAAAAGCTATTAAAGCATGATTCAGTACAGCCTCCCGCGAGGCATGTGTGACATTAACTGTGTAATCTGACTATAACGTCAAAGTTAATTTTGTCTGTTTTACGCATTGCATGTCTTCTGCACATAGTCCGGATGGCAGCTACACGGAAGACCCCAGCACAGAGACCACGATGCAGTTCAAATCACGCAGTACTGAGTTTGATGACGAGTTTGATGACGAGGAACCTTTACCCACTATTGGAACATGCAAAGCACTTTATCCATTTGAAGGTAACAGAAAGGGTGTTAAAAGTTCAAATGTGCCAGGAATTCATGTCTGCTCAGTGGTTATGAAGCCCTTTGTCAGGTTCTGGGATAATAAGTTTAAAGTAGTTTTAACTAAAATGGCTTAATTTTAGCATAAACTTTTAGATCAAAACATTTTTTATATTATGAGGAATATGTCGAAGTGTATGTGTATATAAATTTATATTATTTTATGGCATAAATGCATACAAATTTGCATTGAGAAATTGCAGAATGGAAAAAAATGAACACGTTGAATTAATTTTAAGATTTTAAAACAATGTTTTAAAACATCTACTCAATTAACCAAAAGAAATGAACACAATACAGTTTATATAAAATTCTAAAATTTACACAATTATTTGCTTGTTGAATTAATAATTTTTCTTTATTTTTAAGTGTAAGTGTGTCTAAACTTTTGACTGGTTCATAAATTTATATAATAATTTTATGGTAGATATATACAAATTTGGATTGAGAAATGGCATAATGTAAAAAATATCAATTTAAAAATTTTTTTCTACACATTTTTACACTACAACATTTTACTCTAAAAGAAATATATTAAAATGTTATATATATACAGTATATATATAAAAATTGAATTGATAATTGGCAGAATAGAAAAAAATAACGGAAGAAATTAACTTCAAAAAATAATAAAAATACAATTAAATTTAAGAATTAAATATAAAACGTAAAAAAAATCTCAACTAAACGTCATTATAATAAAAAAAATTAAAAATAAACAAATGTAAAATGTAAAAATGAGTAAAAACTAGGGGTGCACCGAAATGAAAATTCTGGGCCGAAACTGAAAATTCTGGATGCACCTGGCAAAAAAACGAAAATATATTATATATATATATATATATATATATATATATATATTAAAAATAATTATTCATTTCTTTTTTGTGTGTGTGTAATTGTATTATTATTAAACTTTTTAATTTATTTAAATAATCTAGGGAATTTGAATTAAAAAAAAAAATCAAGCCAATAAAATAAAATAACCACACTTTTATTTCAAGTAAAACATTTGGACATAAAATAGTCCTATATTTGAATAATATTAAATCTCAATATATTATTCTTCATTCAGTTCTATGTAGCAAATTTAGAGTTAACAGATTTATTTTTGACCTATTATCAAAATAAAGTAGTCCTTCAAAGCTATTTTAATTAGAGCACGTGAACAGATATCAGGAAGAGGATCAGTAGATAAGAGGATAGTGTCATTTTACCTGCGAAACTGGTTATTGAATGATGAAAAAAGGTATTTTTTAATGAAGTTGACACGCTTGTTTTGGAAACAAAAAAAAATGTACGTTTTTTTGGGGTCTGTAGGTCAGAACGAAGGTACCATATCCATGGCCGAGGGTGAAATGCTGTACGTAATCGAGGAGGATAAGGGTGACGGATGGACCCGTGTCCGCAGAAACGAGGACGAGGAGGGATACGTGCCCACATCCTACATCAAACTCTTTTTGGACACGAATGCCAAAGGTGCTATGACATACATATAATCCCACGCCACAGAACACCCGGAAAGGGTCATTAGTGAACGCCGTTTGTACACTGTACATACAGTAGAAGATCATGAAAATGTTCTCATTGAACAGGACGCAGAGCAATTTCTGTTTGTACATGTGTCATTTCTCGATTTTGGTCTTTATTTACATTTTTGAATTATTTATCTCTCAGACTTGTCCATAAGGGTAAATTAGGCAATAAAGACACAGCTGCTGTGAAATTTTGATATATCTGATGGAATGGCATTATATACAGCATTATAGCTTGGCATTATGGTGGTTTTCTGCTATAACCAAGATGTTTAGATACTCATCATGTTCATATTTTTTAACGATCTACATGCAATCAAATACTTTTAGATTAGCAGCCAATGTCATGAGTGCAAAGACTAATATTCTGAAACCTTTTGGCAATAAAAAATCATTTACTAATATTTTGACCTTAAAACTACAAAATAAGAAGCAATCCTGCATTTTAACTCTAGTGTTTTTAATTGTAATAATTTTGTAATCTTTTGCATGAGAGATGGAATAGAATATTTTCTCAGGTATGTTTACGTTGGTCTACATCCTTGTACCTCAAAAATCCTGAATATACAGGGTTTTTTTCTTTCCCCTGCGGCAAATCACATTCGATTTAAATGCATATCATTAAATGTGAAGAGCTCAAGTAATTAATGCATGTATCTTTGAGACTTTAGCTAGCTTTGCATTTACTGCTGTACAAAGAAGTAAAAAACATACTCGCGAACCCATAGTTAACACAATGCCTTTTAGTGTAGTGAGCGTTGAAGCAATAATTCAAAAGATGCATGTTATTTGTACATTGACCAGCATGGAAAACAAAGTTTCCAGGAATATTTACTGCGCTCTACAGTATATGCATGCTATAAACTACTTATTGCTGCTTATTTGTCCATAGCTTTATCAGCAGCTGTTGATAGTGTCGCAAGCGAAATATACGAACAGTTTTGTATCGTTTTATACCGTCCCTGTCTTTAATTCACATGACATAGTGGAGCTGCACTCTGAAGTTGATCTTCCGTGGTTTTTAACCCATCATGTCATTGCTGTCTGTGAATCAACGATTGTACAGGAATATCATAGTTTGATTCTTATGCAACATCTCTAACATGTCTTGTGTGATGTTTTTTTTTTTTTTTTTGCTTTTTGTTTCTGTTCCTTTCTTTGCAGATCCCTAAAAGTGTTTGGCTGGCACAGGAGTGGCAGGGCAAGCGTCCTTGCGTGAAACGTCCTCCTCTTGTAACTGTAGTCAGAGATGTGGGACAATGTGGGACTAACTGAAAGGATATTCCATTTTTAACGCAACCTCTCTTTCACTGAACTCCTCTCGTCTGCCATAATAATGCAAACCGATCTTTTTCATGACTAGCGTGCTGATTATTTGCTAAAGCTTGCTTCTCGTACGGACCTACAGTAGAATATTTAGCCGTAGCTGCTTGCCGTCAGATCGGAGCCTTTAGGTTTGTTTGCAGAGGCACAGAGTAAGTGCCGTGTACATGTCTTGTTATTGCCTGGCTTGCTTCAGAGCCGAGAGGAGTTTTCTCATGAAGACGTTAGACTTAATGAATATTTGTCAGTGCAGACTGTTCAGTTGTGTGAAAACTATAAAAATGTGGGGGATAAATGGGACTCATTTTATACGTTATAGGCTTGCTTTGTTTTGTTGTACAGTGTTTGCAAGGCGGCACTGTATTTAAACAATTTTGTGCAATTAATCCAGTTAAAACTATAATCAATTTAAGATTAAATACCCATTAAAATGGCAATTTTATTGATGTGATGATGACTGAATCAATGGACATATCAAAAGGTTTGGGGTCAGTAAGATATATTACATTTTTGGAAGAAAATTAATACTTTTATTTAGCAACCATGCAAATGTTTCTTGAGCCGCAAATCATCATATCAGAATGATTTCTGATTTCTGGAGTAATGATACTGACAATTTTTGCATCACAGGAATGAATTACATTTTTAAATAGTAAGATATATAAAATTTTTCACACAATATCATTTTTTAATTTTTTTGCAAATAATGCAGCCTTGGTAAGGATAAGAGTTTTATTTCAGAAACATCTTACTGACCCCAAACTTTAGGGGTCTTTAAACCGACTAATGATCGAATGTTTTTTAAAATGTAAAGGGGTCATGACATGGACTTTTTTTGCACCTATTTTCAACCTTCTGACCCCGTCTGAAACGTTCTGTTTGTAAGGGGCGGCTACTTTAAGGCCGTGTGTCCACCAAAGCGTTTTCCACGAGCCTGGCGTATGCTTTCAATTGTTTTCAATGGGAGCGCCGCGTTTTTTAAACGCCATGAGCGTAACGAGGCGCTGAGCGGTTTTTTTTTCACGCTGAAGCCCCGAGCGCCCGGCGTTTTTTACTCGTTGCCGAGAGTTGAAAAATGTTCAACTTTGGATAAAACGCAGCGCTCATCACTGTCACTTCGTTCTTACCCAGCCGTCCAATCACAGTGGAGGAGGGGCGGGACTACACACCGACCAACTGTCACAGCATTCTTTCAGTACAACGACATCAACCAACAAAGCTAACCGAACAAAATAAATTTTTACTATGAAATAAATTATGCGAAATCAGTTAAAAGTAAACTGTGCTGCGGATATTCTGTATCATAGCAACGAAACGTCTCAACGTAAAAAACGCTGCTCTCTCTCCAAAAAATGCTCCAAAGCACAGCGTTTTCAGCAGAGCGTCTGGCGTTTTCAGCTGGCTAAAAACGCTTTGGTGGACACACGGCCTAAGACTTGTCAGTAAACGGCATGTTATGATTGGCTAACGTCTTTGCACAGGAAACCGTATTAACGTCGACTTAGTATAAACATCAGTAAGCGTTTCAAAAACATCCATATAAAATATAATTTACTGACGAAGCCTTATGAAATCGTTGTGTGATGCTGCTGCTGTCAGATCCAATACAGTTGGGTGCTTCGTCTTCCAACAAAAGTTTCTTTGTGAGCCTTGCTGACAAAATGCTCCTTACAAACATATAATCCTATGACGCGATCTGGGACGGCGGATAGATGTGTAGATCGCGTCAATGATTATAATGGGTTCTATTGGCTTTTGACGCGATGCTATGCTCACAACCAGTGTTGGCAAATTTAAGTCGCCGTTAAGCGACTGAATGGCAGTGGGCGGGGCCTATGGTGCGATGATGGATAACTATTCATCATATGCAAACGTATTAGCCTGTGTCGTCACAGATCCCGCAATATCAAAACGAGCTGTTTTTGGATCTTAATTAAACGAAATTGTGGATGTTTGAATGGTGCAAAGACCTCCTACATGTCAAAACATCGAGGCAAATTTGATTTTGCATGTCACGACCCCTTTAACAGACCGTGAATGTCATTGTAATATATGCATACTGAATTGTTTCTTTTCCAACTGTATTACTATCAATCTCTCTGTTTGTAAATTCAAGCTATCATTTTACCTTAACACTGCTCTTTTGTTGCCTTGCAAGCACTGGTATTTCCCTAAGGAAATGCAAATCTGGTTATTATTATTACAATTATTATTATTATGAATGCATAATCATCCCCTACATTTTGTGTGAGGTGCTGTTGTAGATGAATAGTTCTCTATGGCAGGTGAAGTGGTAAGCATCTTTTCTGGTTCTTTACTCTTTCCTCCCAGAGAAGAAAGAAGTGTCACCTCACTCACTCATTCACACTTTCTTCCTGCGATGTGTGCACACACACACACACACACACCACAGCTGCTCCCTTCTTTCTCTCGCTCTCTATCACCTCCTCTTCTGTTTCTCTCACTGTTGCTGTATCTTTCTTCTTTTCATATTTTTCTACATCTGTAGCCCTGTTTTGATTTTGATTTTACCAGAGGATGTCTGGTCAGCTAAATAAGAAAAAAATTGTCTTAATCAAACACTATTATAAAAAGAGCAAACTAATTATGTTTGTCGGCTAACTTGGAAAGTCTAATCTCGTGTGGATAAGCTTGTCTGCAATTATTGTTTCACAACTACCCCAACTAAAGGCCCGTTCACTCCAAGAATGAATACTATAAAGATAACTATAAAAATAACAACATTAGCGTTCACACAATATCTTTTTGTTTCAACCGAAGAGTGCTGCAGTATTGTCATCTGCCACTTTAAATGCTCGAGCTCGGAAAGTGATTCCAACAATATCGTTTTTCTGTGCCGTCATAGTTTTATGACCATTTTAAACGATTTTTAGAACTAATATCTTTATCGTTATAGTTATTCTCCTTGGTGTGAATGGCCCTTAAAGCTAAATATCTTATTGCACTGCCTGGTAGACCTTATGGAGCTTTTCCACTGCTGTAAGTGCTGTAAGTGTAACTGCTAAAGTGGGTGGGATTATAGACTGTTCGATAATAGCGGTGGCTGTTACTGGCTATTTAAATCTAGCGGGTTTGTTTTCTCGTGTCGATATCTATTGGTCGCAAATACAATGACGCTGGTAGTGACGATTCTGTCTGACCAATCAGTGATCTGCAGTGTTTGACGTTACATTTTAGTACCGGTACGGTACGCTTGGAACCTCAACAAACCAGGTACCATTTAAAGCGAGCCGTACCGTACCGTACCATGCCAGAGAAAAGCGCCACAAGTGAGCCGTACCGAGCCGAGCTGTACCATGCAGTGGAAAAGCGCCAAAGCATACCGTACCATACCGTACCGTACCATGCAGTGGAAAAGCGCCAAAGCGTGCCGTACCGAACCGTACCATATGTACTGTACCATGCAGTGGAAAAGCGCCAAAGCGTGCCGTACCGAACCGTACCATATGTACCGTACCATGCAGTGGAAAAGCGCCAAAGTGTGCCGTACCGAACTGAACCGTACTGTACCATTCAGTGGAAAAGCGCCAAAGCAGGCCGTACAGAAGCGAGCCGTACCGTACCATCCCGTGCAGTGGAAAAGCACCACAAGTGAGCCGTACCGAGCCGTACCGTACCATACCATGCAGTGGAAAAGCACCACAAGCGTGCCGTACCGAACCGAACCGAACCGTACCATGCAGTGGAAAAGCGCCATTAGTTATAAATGTAGACGTTTTGCCAAGTTTCTAGGTAAATGGTTAGTTGGCTGATTCAAGATAGTAATAGTTGATACTAATCCTGTAAGAAATCAGTAATGAGTTTTTATTTACTGTGAAATTTCACTAATAATTACAAAGAAATGGCAAGTAACAGAATTAAATGTCATTTTGATGTAGAAGGACTAAGGAACCGTTTACACGACACTGTTTTCAACTAAAAACAATTTTTTAATGCATTTTGGCCGTTCATTTACACGACAACGGCGTTTTGAGGGCCTGAAATCGCAATCTTTTGAAAATGAGTTTCACAGTGCACGTTTTTGAAAATTAAACTTTTATTGTCTCCGTGTAAACTACAAAAATACAAATTTGTGGAAGCGGTGACGTCACATGCATGTATATTGCATAATGCATAATTCAGCATTTTTAGTCGTTTTTACTGATCTGTGTGAACAGGGTTTTGGGATCGGCTTTGCTGTCTTTACACGAAACTTTTAAAAAACGCAAAAGAACAGACTTTTCCGGTTTTAGTACATCGTTGTGGTGTAAACTAAAAAGTATTTTCTTGTCAAACTTTACTCCAATAATTTTTATTTCGAAAAATCTTTTTTACAGTGTGCTGACAACACTGGCAAAGATATATATGTCTCACTGCGCTATACTGGAATGTCACTTCTGAATCAGTACATGAAATCCCAGGTGTCCTCTATTAATAATTGTAACTTTAATTGGCATTTAGAAAAGTGATCAGCCTCTTTTTTCTCTCTTCTGCTGCTCTTTTTCTTTCATTCTCTCTCTCTCTCTCTCTGTCAGCGCAGTGGATGTGGCTGTGTATGGTGTAGCTGTAGTGGTGCAGTCCAGTAGATGTTGATGGTGGTCCTCAGCTGGTGCTGTGTTTCGACGCATGCATGCTTGCCCTGTCTCTGTGTGTGTGCCAGTCTTAGGGGGTCCAAGTCTCCATAAAGTTCAAGCCTTCGACTTCTGATGGTTGAACTTAAGCTTTTTGAATTGTGTTTGTGCCTGTTTATTTCCTTCTCTACTTTATCTTGAGTGTTTTATTTCTTTTGGAAAAGATATGCATGGTCTTGTCTCTACAC